CAGAGAGAGACACAGCAAGAGAAGGAACACAAGCAGGGAGAGTGGGGGAGGGACAAGTAGGCTTTCCGCCAAGCAGGGAGCCCAATGCGGGGCTTGATCCCAGGACTCTGGGATCACTACCTGAGCCAAAGGCAGATGCTTAACCACTGAGCCACTCAGGCACCCCTTCTTAAAGTCTTTTAGAAACTTCTGATGTTCTTTGGGGTAAAAGTCAACTCAACTGGTTAGTGACAGGATTTTGACTGGAAGGTATATGCTGGAGCTTATTAACCAGTAGAAATGATTTCTGAAAATACCTCTAGGCTAAAATATATTTGTTGGAAATGTCAATAACCTGCTACTCAGTTCTTTATCTGCCTTGACCTTAGCATATCCTTTGATCTCTCTGAATAGTTCTCCAAATTGGAATTCTCTCCTGCCTTCTTTCCAGGATGCACCTCTCTCCTGGTTCTCCTCCTGCTTGAAACATCTCTCTTGGTCTTTTCATTGTCCTTTGCAGGTCCCTGTATGAACGCTCTCCTCACCTTCCTTAGGCTCTAATACCCTGGGCCAGGCTTTCCCCCAATGTGGGCAGTCTCTTCATCCTGGTCGGACTCTAACATACCACACTAGGTGACTCCCATTCATGGATGCCCTCCTCACCTCACTTGGCCTCTAGATGTTCTTTGTTGGTTCATCTTCTGTGGGTCTACACTTCTCATCCCACTTGAGCTCTCCCTCCCCATGTGAGGCTACAACTCCTTATTCTTTCTAGTTCAATCATTCCATGCCAGGCAGCCTGTCCTTATGAAAATATACTTTGCTCTGCACTCCTACTGCCTTTAGGACTGAAATGTTCAGGAAGAGGAAGGGAAAGAGAAGGGGGAAGGAAAGGGAAAGAAATTTTATTTTATTTTATTTATTTTTTTAAAAGATTTTATTTATTTGAGAGATAAAGAGCACGAGAGGGAAGAGGGTCAGAGGGAGAAGCAGACTCCCTGCCGAGCAGGGAGCCCAATGTGGGACTCGATCCTGGGACTCCAGGATCATGACCTGAGCCGAAGGCAGTCACTTAACCAACTGAGCCACCCAGGCGCCCAAGGGAAAGAAATTTTATAATTACTATATTTTTATTTAGCTCTTTGATCCATATAACTAATAAACCCTAAAGCATATATTGAATAGTTTATTTACACTCATTTGAAATACTGTTAATCATAAACTAATTTTCGTATATACATGGATCTGTTTCTGTATTCTCAACAATTTTATATTTCTATTTTGGTTCTTTCATTCATTGATATTGTAGCTTACTTTAAGAAGAAATGACATTTTTACCAAGTCATATAAGGAGACAGAACTTTTCAAATCTTCTTTTATGCCTGTCAGTAAAGTCTTACAGTTTTCTTCATACACATTTTATTGATTTTACCTTATGTTTTTTCCTTAGGTAGTCTCAGTTTTCAGGACCATAGGTCGTTTCTTTTTTTCTATTGTATGTTCTAATTGGTGCATAAGGAATAGGAATTCTTTTGATTTTTGTTTGATCTTTTATTGCACCACCTTTTTGACTCTTATATTAGCCCTAACAATTTGGCACAAATGCTCTTGGGTGTTAATGTAGTAGATACTGTTCACAGGATTTGAAAATTAACTTTCAGGGATGCCTGGCTGGCTCAGTCAGTTGGGTGGGCAACTCTTGGTTTTGGCTCAGGTCATGATCTCAGGGTCCTGGGATCCAGCCCCATGTTGGGCTCCATGATTGCAGGGGAGTCTGCTTGTGGATTCTCTCTCTTCCTCTGCATCTGCCCCTCCTCCCCGCTCATGCTCTCTCTCTAAATTAAATAAACAAATCTTTTAAAAAATTAACTTTCAATAGTAACATATGAATACATTTGCCTTATAAAAATGAGAGAATTACAAATAATGCTAAATCACCTTTGACCAATACCCCCAATCCTATTGTGCCTCCCCAATACCAGTAACTATTATCATGAGTTGAAGTATGTTTCATAGAACATACGTAGTGTTATTTGTGTACATTTTCAAATATTACCAAATGCAACTTTCTTTTTCATCCAAAATGTGTTTTGCTAATCTATCCTTATCGGTACATCTAAATATATTTCATTCAAAAAATATAAATATATTTCACTCATTTTCAAATGCTCTACAGCTTTCTATTAGATGTATCACACTCCATTTATTAATTTTACCTATTCATTCCCCAATGAAGTACACTTAGATTATCTTGAACTTTCACAACCACAAACAATGCTGCAATGAACAAACTTGATGCCTCCTAGTACACATGTGTGGATGTTTTTCTAGGGTAGATATCTTATATTCATAAGTTTCTGGGAAGTTTAACATTATTTAAAAAAAATAATTACTATTAAATATGTGTGTCTCTTAACATTCCTAACATTCTAGGCAGTTCAGTGTTCAATACGAATGTATGGTCTTTTTAGCCTCTACTAAAATGAACACATGATTTTTTTCTCTTTTAACCAGTTTTGGTGAATTATAGTAATTTTCTAAGCTTGAAATATCCTTGTATTCATATAATCCTAATTAATCATGATGATTATTTTTTAAAAATAATGACTTTGATTTGATTTTTTAAAAAGATTTTATTTATTTGAGAGAGAGAGAGAGAGAGAGAGCACACACACAAGCTGGGGAAGAGGCACAGGGAGGGGGAGAAGACGACTCCCACCCCCCAGCCCCCGAGCAGGGATCTCAACGTTGGGTTCAATCCCAGGACCCTGAGATCATGACCCGAGCTGAAGGCAGCCGCTTAACCAACTGAGCCACCCAGGAGCCCCAGTATGCTGATATTTTATATAAGAATTTTCCATCTACATTCATGAGCCACATTGACATAAACTTTTCCTTTTTTGTATTCTCCTGATCAGATTTGATAATAGGGTTTTGCAAGTTTTATAAAGTGCTTTGGGGCACCTGGGTGGCTCAGTCGGTTAAGTGTCTGCCTTTGGCTCCAGTCATGATCCCAGGGTCCTGGGATCAAGCCCTGCATTGGGCTCCCTCCTCAGCAGGGAGCCTGCTTCTCCCTCTCACTCTGCCTGCTGCTCCCCCTACTTGTGCTCTCTCTCTCTCTCTCCATCAAATAAAGAAATCTTGGAAAAAAAAATGCTTCAGATATCTTCCCTATGTTCTGGAACCACAAATAGGAATTATATGTTCTTTGAACCTTCATAGAGCTTATCCCTTTGTTTTTCAAATTAATAATTATGTAATCAAATCCTCCACACCCCCACTTATTTTTAAAATCTGAGATGCCTATTTCTGGGGTAGATATATTTGTGTCTTCTGCTTCTATTACAAATTGTCAAAAAGTTCCCATAATTCTAATAGTCTTAGCTATGTTCTCAGAGTGACAATAGTTTAAGTGTATATTATCTTTGTGGACTTTTTCCTTTATTAATATAAAATCCTTTTCTCTTTTGATGCTTTTCTTTTCAATTATATTAACATTGCTATATTGCTTTCCTTTGATCACCATTTGGTTACTAAATCTTTTAACCTAATATCTTCAAGGTTTCTGTGTCATTGGTGGAGCTTGCCTGTGGTCAAGTTATAGCTAGATTTTGTTTTTAATCCAGTCTGTCTTTTTAATTTATGAGTAAAATTAACCCATTTACATTTATTGTAAATACTGATGTTTGGACTTATTTTTCTCGTCTTATCTTTTTCTATTTACTGTACTTCCATCAAGTTTCTTTTTCTTTTCTTGTTCTCGTTTCTGACTTTTGTTGGACTAGATGGGTTTTCTTTGTTCCATCCCCCCCTTTAACGGTCTGCAAATTATAAATCCAATTTAATTCTTCAGTGTTTATATTTAGATTTTAAAATTTATTTAATGTCACATATTCAGAACATATATGTTAAAGCTCAACACCTGGCATTAACCTGTATCTATAATCCCTTTCTGAAATTTTTTTGATTCTCAGTTTTCTGTAAAATTGGGACTTTGCATTCTTCACTTAGTTTTCATTTAATCTTGAGGATTAAATGTGATGCCATGTCAAGCTCTAGTCTTTATGAAGAGGTCTTCAATTCCTTCGTTCCATTTCGTCTTTATTCAAGGAAAAAACTTCAGGTCCAAAAGACACAATCGCCTTTTATCTCCTTTGTCCTTCAAAGTCACCTCTTCTTATTTCTTACAACATTATGGCCTTCTCTAGTCTTTCAATTTCTCTCTAAGACTCAGAATATCTTCTCAACTTCCCTTTACATAAAAAAAATCCCATTCAGCATTGTACTGAATGGTCTCTTTTGCTCTAGATTCAAAGAACGTCATTTCCCAATGACTCCATGCCTTTCTTCATTTTTCCTTCAAAATGGCGGACTTTAGACGTTCCACGAATAACACCACGTGCGCCTGCGCCTCCCGCGGCCATTTCGCCCAGCAGCCCAAACTCCAGCCTCTGCTCCGCGAAGCGCCTGCGCAAGAGCCTCCGGAGCCCAATGGCTCCTCCCCCTAGCTGAGTACGCTTGAAACCGCACGTTCCCGTCCCTTTCCTCCCCCGCTGACTCTGCACCGCCCTTACCCCTTTCCTGTGAGATTCTTCCGCCAAGTGGATAGCCCATCTTCCGTCGACAGCCTACGCAATTGAAGAGCAATCCAATAGGCACATACAGCCCTGGGGCTCATCACTCAGTCTTATCTATGCACCCCTGCAATTTTCCTCTGGCCCTAAAGTTGATAAGCGATTTCGCGGGACTTTTTTGCATACCGTAGGCAACAAATGGAAAGAATGGCTGTGGCGGAGGGATCTCTCGCTTACGCTCTGTGTACTTTAACCTAATGGGGGTCGTTCGGGAGTCGGAGGGGGAGGGGAGAGGGAGGAGGCAACCAAGGAATTGTTTTTTTTTCTCTCGCCCCGCCTGCGCCAGGCCGGCCAATGGCGATGGGCTTTTTACCCACGAGCCTCGCCCAGCTTCTTGGACTACGCCAATGAGCGGTGGAAGCGGCTCCGAGGGGGCGGACCCGAGAGGCTGTGCGTGTCTTGTGAGAGCTCTTGAACCAAGTCAGAGCTAGAGCTGGGCGGCTGGAAACGGCGGCCGCCGCCGGTGACTCAGGGAGGCAGGAGGCGGGGTAAGAGCGCCGCGGCCTCGGCTGAGGGGAGAGGAGGAAGAAAGATGAAGGCGCCGAGCCCGCGGCCCTGCCGCCCTCGCGCCGCAGGCCGGGGCGAGGGACGCCCGGGGGTCGGCGGCCGGGAGAGCGCTGTGTCGGGGCGGGGCGGCGGGGCAAGTGCGGAACCGCGGGCTCGCCCCTCCCGCGGGGCCGCCCGGGGCGGGGACGCGGCTGCCCTGGACGGGCCCTCGCTTCTGGCCTTTTCTTTCCCAGGGCGGGGGGCGAACACTTTAAAATCCACTTAGGCTGCAAAATAATTCTCCCCTCACTCCCTCTGCGTTTAGGTTTAAGGTTTTGGAAAAGCGAAACTTGGGAGAACGAGGGTCACGCGGCGCTTGGGCCCGTGTTTGCGGTGGGGGAGGGAGCCGGGGGGCGGGGGAGGACGCCGGTGTAGAGATCGGGTGTTGGGTCCTCCCTCGCACCGGCCGCCGCCTAGGGTCTGGTGCTCCGAGCGGGGTTAGAACCCCTCCCTCCGTCCCCGCTTCCCCCGCGTCCTCTCTTCCCGGCCCCCTCCCACCGGCAGCCCCCGTTGCATTTTGTTTTTGTATTTTTGCAGGGAGGAGCCCTTCCTGCAGGCGTGAAAACCATGGTGCTCACGCTGGGAGAAAGTTGGCCAGTATTGGTGGGGAAGCGATTCCTCAGTCTGTCCGCAGCCGACGGCAGCGACGGCGGCCACGACAGCTGGGACGTGGAGCGCGTCGCCGAGTGGCCCTGGCTGTCTGGGACCATTCGAGCTGTCTCCCACACCGACGTTACCAAGAAGGACCTGAAGGTAAAATCAGCTCCCGGGCCTCAGCTGTCGGGCGTTTTGTAGTTACCTTGGTAACGAGACAGCCAGTGGGGGCCCCCCTCCCCTCTTCTGAAAAGGGCGACCAGAAAGTTGGCATCTGATCTGAAGGTGCAGAAGACTAGACCTTGAAAGTCTTTGAAATGGTTGTGTAGAACCGAGGTGTGTTTGGCTTCCAGTTGCTTGAGTTTAATGACGGCCTTGGGGTTGCTCAGACACGCTTCGTTACTGCCCGCGCTGTGCCCTAGTAGGACTGTATGATTATTTCTCCGAAGGGGGAGTATTGTTAACATTAGATTGGTCAGGCAGGTGATGTTAGGAATCATTAAGAATTGAGGGCTAGCGCTTCCAGGTGGTTTTTTGTTTGTTTGTTTGTTCCTCTTAATTTCTTCACCCAACTTGTTAAACTTTCAGACTTGATAGAAATGAAGTGCGTGAAGAGGGAGGAGCTTAGTTCTGTTTGGCATATTAGGGTGGGTACTTGTCCGTATATGGTGGGTCAGGGTGGAAGTGGGTTCCTGGTCGCCTGTGATGAGCCTGTAGGTAGGTGTGGGCTTTGACCATATATGGAGGGCAGGGGTGGAGCCGACCCTTATATGGTGTGTTAGAGGAATGGCTTTGAAATATTCCACTTTGGTGTTTGGGGGAGGGAGGGAGAAAAACGGGAGCAAGTGTGGACAGTGATTTTTAATCAGAATGACACTCAGAACCTTTTTCAGTTAGATCTTTTCAAAGAGAGATGAATTCTAATTGTACTCCCTAATTGAAGTATTGGTGGCAAAGGATTGGGAACAACCAGTGAGGAAGCTATTCTACCAACAAAGACTCCTTTGTGCAAAAATAACTGGAGAAAGGTCCCTAACAAAGACTCCAAAGTGGTGATAATTTGAAGGAAGCTTGTTTAGAAGAGATTTCCACCCTGGATAGTGGATATGTTTTAGCATCTTCACTGGGCATCATTATTGCTTTTTCTTGAAAACTGTGTTCAGGTTGGGAAGCAGGTTTTAGCATTGGCAGTTGAATACATGTTGATTTCTGACACCCCATTCATTTGAACACTTTAAGGTGATAGTACATGCCCAAACTAGTTTTAGTCTGCAAAGAGTTTTTGGAAAAGGATATGTGGTCATATATTTTTAAAGCTTCCAGCATGCCTTGTCTTCATGTTGAAAAGTAGGAGTGACTGTTGAGCACTTAGCCACGTGCCAGGCATCCTACTGAACACTTCTTAGCCATGATCTTATTAATCCTTATAGCAACTCTTCGGGATTAGGTACTAATATTGCTGCATTTTACAGACAAAAATATCGGGGTTGGGGGCATTAAGTATCTCACCAAGGTCACATACCTAGAAATTGGCATAGCCTGTGTTCTAACCTAGGAAGTTTTGATACTTGAGCCCACTGTCTTTACCATTATGCTCCCTGTGCTGCAAAAGGACTCCTGTCATACACTGTGAAGTTTGGTGTTTCATTCCTCCCAGCAAACTGGATTTTGCTCTTTATAGAAAGAAAGTAGTGTGGTACAAAGATGGCCAACCTATTTGCTTTGGGCCAATCTTTCTCCATAAAGTGGGCTTTGTGTACCAGATTTCAGTCATAGTTGTTGTGGTTTATTTCACCTGCCAAGTAGAATTTTCTCTAGTGTGTTTGTTTTTATCTGATTTGAATGGAAACAATGGAAACAAGTCTTTAGTTCTTTGGCAGATGATGACAGACTAGGTGTTCTCTTCCCCAACAGGACCTAATTATAGACCCATTGGATTAGGAAGGCAGTCTAGGAGGTCCTTTTTGGGTATTCTTTTTAATCTCCACTTTTCTGCCACCCCTAATCTTTGAGGTGGTGGTAATATCTTCGTTTTCAGAATGAGAAGCTAGATTTGGGAAAATGAGTTTTGTCCAGATTTGCATAATTAGCTACTCAGTGATGGAGGGAGGATTTGAACCTAGGTTTGGCTTTGTCTTTCCCATTGCACTAAGGTGCCTCACCTGAAGATAAACAGCGATTTTTCATTTGAAAAACAATTTTAACTATATTTGATTTTTGGTTTACCTGCAGACTTCGTAATTCAGCCGTCATGTAAGGTGCAAATTACTTGATTTCTTTCATCTAATCCTGATTTATCGTTATGTTCCTTAATTGAGTAACAGATGGTTTAAGTTATAAGGGCATCTTGTATTAGCAAAAACATAGACTTTCAAAATACTAGAACCAAATCCTGGTTGGGGAAATGCAGGCAGGAGCTAGTAACGAAGACCATGATTACAGTTGGGCTTAATGTATTAAGTTTTGGGGGGTAAAATGGGACTGGGGTCTAAGATGAATATAAACTAATAAAATTCAAGTAGTATGCAACTGGTTTGGTTTTGGAAGTACAAGTTTGTCTAGACTGATTTGCTGTTAGTTGAGGATGATGTTAATGAGGCCAAGACTTGTTAACTTTGTTTCACCTTGAGGGAGACTTTATAACACAGTCACTCACTCAGATACACTATGTCTAGTTGTTGATTACAGAGAGTCAGGGTGAAGACAAAGTAATGATTAAATGGTTATTATTTGGCACCTTATTTAATTCTCACAAACATCCTAGATGGTAAACCATATTTTTTAGTGTTAGAAATTGAGGCTTGAAGAAATTAAATAACTTGCCTAAGTTTGTCTCTAGATTTTAAACAATGGGCTTTAATATTCAGGTAGAGTGAGATTAAAGCACTGTATTTTGTGGGCCTTTATATCTTTATATCTTTAGCACTTAGAACACTGCTTGGCATGTAGTGTTTGTTGAAATATTTGAATGAATAAATGGAAGGAATCACAATTATTCTACATTGAAAAGCAGTTTTAGAAATAATCCGATGGAGCAGTAGCATTCTCTTGCTCTAGAATAACAACAAATGTTTATTAGTATGGTTATAAGAACCTCTTTTTATACTACTCTTTCTACTTGAGTGTGAGACAAGTGGCTTCATTGTGCATGCTGGGAATGTCCTTCTTCCCCAACTTGTCTGTCTGGGTCTTTTCCAGTTTCCTTTCTTCGAACCTAACTTATACTTGAGTCTTCTGCTTCTTAGTTCTTAGGGATATCCCTGAGTAGCAGATGAGTAGTACTTGCCATCTCTGTGTACTATTTCCTGCTGTTAAAATTCCCTTTTTGGCAGTTGGGTGCCTTGACCAATTCCTAGCCTTTTCGCCCTTACATGCAATTGGAATTCTGCTGCCTGTCAAACCATGTAAAATGAGAAATTCCTACCAGTGTAATAAAATCTGTTTACCCCCATAATTGAATGCTAAATTCTGGGATTTTAGATAAGTGTTTTATTTAGGTGTAAGAAGACATAAGCAGAAGCATAAAGTTCTTAATTTGTGGAGAGTGGAATAAGTGGTATTCTGCATTATTAGTGCTGAGCATAGAATAGATATGTCATTAAAAACTTGACTAACAACTATGCCATTCTGTAAGTGCCTACTTTTAAACTTGGAAATATTTTACTTGGCCTTTCTGTTGGTTTTCATAATCATATACCCAGGTGAGATTAATGTATGTTAAGAGCGGGAGGTTTTGAGATTAGCTTGATTAGATATAATCATGTATTAAAAAGATTTTCTGTTGGGGAAAAATTAACTTGAAATAATTAATTTGAATATTCAACATCTGGTCTAGATATTTAATAGGCTAATAAGGTACACATTTACAAAATGTCCTATTAAAAAAATAGCAAGTTGGGAAATTCTAGGTAGTGAATCATAATTAATCAGCTTCTTTTTGGCCTTTGGAATCAGACAGCATAAATAACATCAAAAGGAACATGAGGGAATAAAGTTACATCATTAAGCTTGCAGAAGATTGGTCAGGTCACTTTATTTCCCCCTAAATTTGAATTTTTATTGGTGTTCCTTTCTGGGGGGGGGAAGGGGCAGAGGGGGAGGGAAGGACAGAGAGAAAGAGAATCACAAGCAGGCTCCATGCCTAACGTGTGAGCCCAATGCAGGGCTGGATCTCACAACCCTGAGATCATGACCTGAGTTGAAAGCAAGCAAGAGTCAGATGCTTAACCCACTGAGCCACTCAGACGTCCCTGGTGTGTCTTTTTATAGAAATTTTTGCATAGGAGGCTTGCGGGGGGGGGGGGGGGGTCCCTTACATAGAGAACCTCAAGCTTCAAGGCACAAATGAGAGACATTTGTGGTTATGATAGGAAACTTTTGAAAGAGTGAAGAGAGTTTACAACTTGTTGGTTTCATTATATTTTTTTGAAAAGTCACCTTTTTTCAAAGTAAAGTTACTGTGAGTTTTTGACCAATGCAACCTAATTTCCGAAGTGATTAAGTTATTTTTAAGGAGCTGAACTTAACTTTTGAATCACTCAAAAATTGGGATATAAAGAAGTGGCCGTGTCTAAATTTTGGTTTAGGGTTGATCATAAGCTTTATAGATATAGTGATAAGTTTTGGAAAGCTACTGAACATCTTAATCCTTTATTTTTTTTTCTGAATAGATATTGGATAATCATATTTAGGATCTTCTCTCCCCCATTCCTAACTGAACTGATATTCTGATACAAAGTAAGATTTGAATTACCATGGAAGTCTTAAAGCTACCTAATCTCCTTGCCAGATACTTTACATACCTTGTCTTAAGATTTTACCTAACAATTCAGTGAGGGGTAGATGTTAGTATTTTCATTTTGGAGCTAGCAAAACCAGTTTCAAAGAGTTTAGATTTAAGCAGGGGTTCTTAACCTGGCCTGCAGGCTAATGGGTTTTCTTTGTAACGCTACATATATTATTTTATGCCGGTAAAATCATTCTAAAAAAGCTTCAGCATAGCTGGGATTCAAACCCAGATTTCTCTGGTGCTGTAGTTTGTATATGTTCATTCCTCTTACACCACACTGATGGGAAAACTCCTCTAAATCTAGTGTGGGTTTGAGGTTGATGTGATGTGGGGTAGAAAGACTACCCAGTTTAAGGGAGCTATCATAGGACCTGTATTCTGTGACTGGGAAGGCAGGAAGATGAGCAGTCTCTAAACAATTCTGTGAAGGACCTTTTTTTTTTTTTTTTTTAAGATTTTATTTATTTATTTGACAGAGAGACACAGCGAGAGCAGGAACACAAGCAGGGGGAGTGGCAGAGGGAGAAGCAGGTCTCCCGCTGAGCAGGGAGCCTGATGTGGGACTCGATCCCAGGACCCGGGGATCATGACCTGAGCCGAAGGCAGACGCTTAACAACTGAGCCACCCAGGCGCCCTGTGAAGGACCATTTGATTGGATATAGTGTTGGATGGAATTCCTAGACCAAGGAGAGTGACAGGGCCTTGTCACATAATAGGTGCTGACACATCTGTATGGATTCTGTGATAACTGCAAGATGAAAAGCCTGCCATACATGCATCTTCTCAGGGGAAGTTGCCTGAAAGTTAGGGATGCAGATTTTACTGTAGCGGGAGGAGGGTAGGATGGGTTTTAAATTTCATTGATTTTTAAAGATTGATATTATAAAGCCATAAAACTGGAGAAGGTTTGGGATTGGGACTAGTGGTATACCAGTTGGGAATGTCCTACCTGCTAAATGGTTAAGAGTAACAGAAGGTAAGAGGCCAATTCAGAGAGAAATTTATTCATTCAACAAGTATTTGAGTACTGACTGGGGACTGGATACCAGTGAAATACAGTGGTAAGTAAATACAGATATAGACTTCGACCTATTAAAATTCATGTGAATCAGTTAGCCACAAATAAATAATTCAAAGTGTGGGTAAGTGCTAGGAAGGAAAAGTATAGGGCTTTGAGTACAGTTAACAAGGGGAACTCTTTTTGTGAGGGGGTTGCTCATTGCTAAGGGAAGGCTTCTTTGAAGAAAGGATTTTTTAATTTGAGCTCTGACAGATGAATGGAAGTTAACTTTTTTTTTAAGTTAAAGCTTGGAAAGGGAGATGTGGTTGTCTATGAAATTATGAACAGGGTTGATGTGTTCATTAACTGATTCTTTGAAGCCAAAACTGAGAGGCCTCTTTAGTAAGAAAAGGTATTTTAAGTCAAGTAAAAATAGTGATTTTTACACCAAATATTGAAGGAGGTTAGGGTCAGTTTATCAACTATTTGTTTCTATATTTAGCAAAGTAGTCTTTGACTCTAAACTCCCAGTTTATTCAACTGAAAGGGATGTTGAGGATGTGCTGTCTACTAGGCCTTTTAAGGCTAAATCCTATGCATACCAAAGGGATTCAAAACAAGTGGTGGATTATGCTGATGGTGGGGGGGGGTCATCTTAAGCCCACAGTGTCATTTTAGAATCACAATGACGCCCAATAGGTATTTTTTTTTAGGGTTTCAAATTTCTTTCTTTTGATTCAAAACTCTGATGTCTGACATACATGAAAACCTTCTACATGGGGGTTCTTTGCTGTATGGGCTTCCTAGAAGTTACTTTTGGGGCAGAGATTGGCCTCCAAAACCCTTGACTGCTATTTCCCAAAAGGATGTGGAAGCCAAAGCTTGATGGTTAGATTAACCTGTTTGTTTGGTTTATTGTGGACTGTGAAGGGAAGTAAGAGTGGGAAAGAGGGACAGCACATTTAGATGAAGATTCAAGTAGAAAATTAAGGGTATAATTCAACTTTGGCTTTTTTCATGTTTATTTTCGTTAATTGATTCTGCTTTTTTTCACTTCTGTTTAGGTGTGTGTGGAGTTTGATGGGGAATCTTGGAGGAAGAGAAGATGGATAGAAGTCTACAGCCTTCTAAGGAGAGCATTTTTAGTAGAGCATAACTTGGTTTTGGCTGAACGAAAGTCTCCTGAAATTTCTGAACGAGTTGTTCAGTGGCCTGCCATAGTGAGTACAGCTTGGGGTTATGAGAACGGGGTATTTAATCCATTATGAGTGAAATAAGGGAAATGTATATGGGCTTTGGAGAATAATATTTGGCCTTTGGAGAATAATAGTGCAGATACATGGCAAGGTAGAGGAGTCAGAAGAGCACCCAGAATCTCCTGTCAGCCCTGCTAGGCACCCTATTACTCTGGGCCCTTGACTTTCTCCCGCCTCATTTTCTTCACTTGAAAAATGGGGATGGAGGTAATGTGGGCAATGTCTAGGTCAGGGGTCAGGAACCAGCCTATGTATATAGGCATACATATATATGTGTATTTGACTTGACCTTTATAGAGTTTTAAGAAAATCTGGATTCGTTGTTTGCTTTTAAAATATGGAGAGTATACCTTAAAATCTGGCTGTTTCCTGGCTCCTGTAGTGGTTGCCAGTCTTGGCCTAATGATCTCTAAGGTTCTCTCTGACTCATAATATTCTTTGGCTCTGAAGGTACTGGCAGTCAGTACATGATTATGCCATTTCCACATCGTAAATCTGGTGTAGTTAGAAGATGAGAGTGATCACATGTCTGGAGAGGACAATTCAGGTTTTGTGAGACATAGGGCTTAACAGTGGAAGGGCCAGGTTTAAACAGTTGGAAAAGCTAGAAGGTGGCTGAAAGGCTGACTAGATTGTGAAGGGTCTAGCATGCTGTGCTAGCCAAGTTAAGATTTTGACTGTGGGTGAGAAGAGCTGCTGGGGATTTTTGAGTGGTATAGGGTTTTGGTTAAAGTTGTATTTTGCTCTTTGTATCCCCACCCCCAGCTATTAAGATTTTGCTAAAAACATGGCCCTGTCTCCCCAAAAAAAGTATGTATACACATAATTTTTCACATAAATTTTGGAGAGGCCATGTATCTCTTAACCCAGACCTATATGTTAATGACTCCCAAATGTGTGTCTGGTTTAAATGATTGATTTTGGATGAAAATTGTGCAGTCTTTTGGTTGCATAAATAGTTGTTATTGAGATACCAGCAGTAAGTAAAAAAACTTAATGGTTTTATCTCTCTGCCTGTGTAGAAAATTGCTAGTCCCCCTATTCAGAATTATGCTGATGGCAATTGTGATGCCAAGACATTTTGTTTTGTTCTAGGTGTATAAGTCTCTGTTGGACAAAGCTGGTTTGGGATCCATAACTTCTGTTCGCTTTCTAGGAGATCAACAAAGAGCATTTCTTTCTAAAGACCTTCTGAAGCCTATACAGGTAAAAGATAAAAACAATATTAAACTCTAAAGGTAGAAATATAAATTTTTTAATATGAGAACTAAAATACTGATTTTGATTGCTCTAATTCTAATAGATAACCTAACACAGAAAAGGACCCATCTCATCAGAAGTTAGTTATTAGACATCATCCTTCAACGTTAACCATTGGGTTGGTGCTGTCCATTTGGGGTTGGAAGGACAGAGGTAGTACAGTTGATGGTATGTGTTTATGTATGGAAACACTAGGTGATACAAAAATAATTTTAAATTTGTATATATATACATGTACATATATCCATACATGGCAGTCATTATTTATGTATTCTATGTGTGGGACGTTGCCTGCTTGCTAGAATATATTTATAACCCCCAAATCAGTACTTAGGCACTTTCATGGTCATTCACAGACGTTGGCAGAGTGGTGAAAAATTCGAGTTACCTGACAAGTCTTCCCAGCTGAAGTCAGATAAAGTGACACATTCTGCCTTCTTGTTTTCTCTCTCGTACTGTAAACTGATGTGCTTTCTGAGGTCTCTTTAGTGCTGAATTTTTGTGCTTTTTTTTTTTTGTTGGTGGTTTCACTATACCAAATGTAGTGCTGAAGTGCTATCTAGTGTTCCTTAGTGCAAGAAGGCCATGATGTGTCTCAGGGAGGAAATACATATGTTAGATAAGTTTCATTCAGCTGTGAGTTACAGTGCTCTTGGCTGTGATTTCCAGATTAATAATGCAGCGGGATAAAATAATGTTGTCTTCCACAGAAACACACTTAAGACATGATTATATATATAGGTTGGTTAATGAAACTGACCAAGAGGCTCATAGGAACCTAACCCTATCTTTCCACTAGGAACAGTGGTTCACTATTCATTTGTGGTGACTTGGTGAAACATAATTATCATGAATAATGAGAATTGAGAGCACATGCATGTTCTTTCCACTTAGCTTGCAAAACTCCCACCCTTCATAACATTTATGCTCTTGGGTCTTGCTTGTATGTGATTATTTTCTTGATGAAAATGTTTGGAGAGTGGGAAAGAACACACAGATTATCTTTAGATTACTCCCTTAGGAGTAATGTTGGTCATATAATAACATTCGTCTTTTAGATGTCATTTATGAAACTTAATCTCCTTTACCCACTTGGATTTGGTGACCTGACATGTTTCTGTGCACTGTACAAAAATTAAAGTCACTTATTTGTTAAAAGGCAGGGCCCATGGTCATTGCCATTGATGTGCCTGTATTGGAAAACCCAAAGCACTGGCTTTCTCTGTAAGTCTCATTTTCAAATCGTGGAAGTAAGTGAAAACAAAGTCCACATTCTGAACCTTCTTTTAATGTTTAAGTAAGTAGAACAAAGAAAGGGTTTTTGCTTAATTTCAGATGCAGGTTAGCTTTGTGATGTCAAGTAGGCATGTTGATATTTTTCCTGCCTTAAAAGGAAGAATGACTTGCTCTTAAGGGCCAAGGAACATACAGGAGGGGCTTTGGATACCTTGCTTTACTTAGTGATAGAGTAGTTTTTACTTCTCAGCATTGTTTTCTGGACAGTTCGGCTTTACATCTTTTGTGTGTCCAAGCTTTTCAGTCAAAGCAGAACTTGTAGAAACAAAGTAGGAACTTTTCTTTCTTGAGATTGGAAAAGCAAGATCTAGATCAGTTAGTTTTTATTTGTTCTCAGTGAGATGTACTGTGGCTATCAGTATGAATATTAATATTAATTGAGGGAGATTATGATGTGTGCTCTTGACTTTTACTGATGATAATAGTGGCCAAAGTTCAGTGCTCGGGGCATTCTCTTATAGATATGATTATATTAGGCTTCTACTGTATGGAACTATGTTGAGGACTGTGATTACTGCAGTAGAATGCTTGCCCTAAATAATGCACAGAGAACCTGAAAATCATTTGGCATATGTAGAAGTTGGATTTGAAACTTAAGGTCTGTTTTTTGGATTGAATTTGACTTGTCTACCTGTGGGTAAGAAAAAAGGCAAAATACCCTGGTCAGCTGTCTGGCATTCAGACTCCCGTAGGCAGAGTAGAATTTTTCTACCTTGTTTTAAGAGCCATTTGTGGCTTTCCCCATTAATGTGCTACTTATCTTTTAGTAGGAATTGGAGCACACATTTACATTATTTTGAAATTGCAGCAGCATGAGGAAAAAAAAAGCCCCCACACATGGCCCATTCTGATAATTAATGTTGAGCTCTTCTGAAGACCCTGGGTTAAGTCCGATGTTATTTGGCTTAAGAAATGCATTTTTCCAGCATGGCCTCTCTGAAAGACTAGTTATTCTTCCCAGTGGGAGAGATGGATGAACTATTTTTGGCTACTATGTATCCATTTCACAGTGTCAGAAAAGCGTGAAGCACTGATATTAGAAGGGCTTCTGTGCTATAAGTTTGTGTTTGGCAGGTTATTCCTATTGACAGTTTCTGTATACGTTTATCATAACTTAGTGTGCATACAAAGCCAAAAGACTATGGAATAGTGCCCAAAATGGAGCTGCTGCCAAGAGTTGAGTGTTTCAAAACTGGCTTGCTGAAAACTTAGGCTGTTCATTCAGATTGTGTCCATCCCCATCCCCCCTTTGCCATTTGTAAACAAGAATGCATTTGGAATTCATTTAGGTTAAATCAGTCTGTGTGAAGTGATTTGTTAAAAACAGTTTCAGTGAATTGACACTACATATCTCTGTGCTTCTATGTGTGTGTGTTTTGCCCCTGGGAATTCCTATGGGTTGACTAGCTTGTTTGTTTCCTTATTATATTTCCCATAGTCAAAGTTGTGTCATGTTTTAAAGTTATGCTTTGAGCCACTCTTAGTATTTGTCATGCTCTTAGGTTGGGGTGACTTCACTTTAGTCTCCCCTATATCTGTGATTATTTGGATTCCTACTATTTGATCTATTAAGTTCATTGGAGTTGCAGTGGTTTGGTGCCATCAAATGGCTAATGACGGTACTTTGACATTAAGCTGGTTGAAATGTGCACTGGAATTTAAACAGCTCTTATTTGTTACCTTAAAATGTAATGCTCTTCCATTTTTCAGGATGTAAACAATCTTCGACTTTCCCTTATGGATAATCAGAATGTCAGTAAAGAATTTCAAGCTTTGATTGTGAAACATTTGGATGAAAGCCATCTTTTACAAGGTATGTAGCTTATTTGTTGGTGACAGTTCATGAGTTGACCAATGATTAGCTTGTAAGAAGGTACATTTAGTCCTCACTCATTCTCTCATGATGAGATTTCTAATTTTTTTAGAGATTTCCTTTTGCTTTCCTCATGCAGCTAGATGATTGAAGGACTTTATTTATTCTGAAGCCTCTGAAATTTGGAAAGCTCGGGGCTTATATGAAAACTAGTAAAGTAAATATTAAAAAAGCTCAGCTGTATTTTGACATGGAATTTGATATGTTTGAAATTTCAGTCTTAAAAAATCGGTGAAACATGAATTTGGTAATCCTGATCCTCCCATATATTACTGAGTTTCCTGGTCAGTTTCACAGTCCTAAGTATTTTAGAAGACTTACCAGTTCTGTTGGGGTTCCTGGATTTGGATCCGCTAAAACTGCACAGGACAGTGAGTTAGGGCTCAGTGAGTTATTTGGTACTACTTGGTCTTACACAAATGCTGGAATAAATATATTGTTTCTTTTTATTCCATTTTCCTATTAATTTACCTAAAAGTTTAAAATAAAAAGCTTAAATTTTCTCCTGGCTTTGCTGAAATGTCATCTTTTCATGTTTATAGCGGTATCTTTTAATGTTTATTTTTGCTTACTGTTTACTGCTTTTGTTTTTGTTTTTGTTTTTTTTGCTTACTGCTTTTTTTAAAAGACTTGAGAAAATATCCTGGATGATGGTATGTTGGGAAATAATGCAAATTGCTCTAAGGATTTTTTTTTTTTTTTTTTCAGGTGACAAAAACCTAGTTGGTTCAGAAGTAAAAATTTATAGCTTGGACCCATCTACTCAGTGGTTTTCTGCAACCATTGTAAATGGAAACCCAGCATCAAAAACTCTGCAAGTCAACTGTGAGGAGGTAAAAGATGATGCTAATTGCATGTAAGATAACTTGACAGAGGAAGATAATTCTAAAAAGGAATTATAGTATCTTATTAGGAGCTAAACAGCTTTATTATCTTTATATTAAAATAATAGAGTAGAAAAGTAAATAGAACTATTGTTTTTAAAAGAAATTACTTGTAAGAAGCTTCTCTGGTATGCTAACAGAGTTAATTTCCGGTATGTTTCTGAGCATTTTTAAGTTTTCTATTATCTTTGTTTTATTTATTTTTAAGATTCCAGCACTGAAAATTGTCGATCCATCACTGATTCATGTTGAAGTTGTGCATGATAACTTTGTGACGTGTGGTAAGATATATTATTTGATTAAAGCCTTTGTTCTCCTTCCTATCTTTCCTCTTTCTCCTTTTCATGTTAAGAGAAACAGGGAAGCCAACCTACCTATTTTTAAATATTTTAGGTAATTCTACAAGAATTGGAGCTGTAAAACGCAAGTCTTCTGAGAATAATGGAAGCCTAGTTTCCAAACAAGCAAAATCTTGCTCTGAGGTAACCTGACTTACGTTTGTCACTTATGTGAAAGTTTCCTTAATTCTAAGGGTGCATGGCCATCTTGTTAGTGGTTATTAAGCTCTCTTCTGTGCTCTTCTGTGCTGTCTTGTCTGCTCTTCTTTGCTAGTTCCGGATCTTGGCCATAATTTCTACACTCAAGCAGATGGAGATAATATAAGTTTCTGGTTAACTATTTTTTTGTGTGTAAAACATGTTTTATTTTTTGATATTTGCTGAAAATTCTCAAGAGATTTGACAATTTCACCCATAAGGAGTGTTTTTGAGGGTAAACTGAGTTATGTGTATCAAGCTGGAAGAAAGCCTGGCATGAGAGGAGGGGAAGAACCTTAGAAATCTGAGTAGGTATTGAAATGGGACTCCCCCTCCTCAGTAATAGGTTTGATTGATAATTTATGATTGGTTAAACAAACATATTAGCTTTTTAAAGGAAGTGGTTGGTTTACCATTACTAATTTCTGCCCAGGACAGTATAGTTTGGTATGAATGCCACTGTGAGTTCAAGTACTGGATTTAATTCTGTTCTGAATTGGTTAGAATTTAGGTCAAGAAACTTAAGGCTGTTTCTCTTTTTAGGTGAGTTGAATCCTTAGGACCTATTACAATACAAATAACTTTTTTACAACTTAGGTATCCGGATGCATTTGTGTTACCGTGACAAAAACACCTTTATGATGCTCTGCTCCAGGCTGGAGTTTACAATTTTAAAATTGACCAAGTTGGTGTTAAGATTGTTGACAGCACTTTAGAAGGAACTTTGGGGTTTGTGGGAGTAAGGCAAGGAGAAATGGTATGGGAGTGGGGCAGAGTCAGTTAATGAACCTAGGGCTCTGGATCAGGGCAGACTGGACTAAAACATCAGCTAAAACCAAAGTAAGCACTGTGCTACACAAATACCTAAGAATCTGACTGGCTAAGATGATTGGCTTTCCTGAGTCTTAAGCCTGTGTATAGGCAACAGGAACTTTGACACTTGACCAAAAACTTTGTAAAGCAAGATATATCTCTCTCTTCCTTCCAAGTCTGTAGGCCTCACCTCAGGTTGTTCAGGAAAGAACGAAGTGGTTATTATTGGAAATTAATATTACTACTTTCATTTTTACCTTAAAGTTTACAAGGGAGAAGTAACGTAGTAGGGACTGTAAAGTGAGGACGTCAAGCAAGTGATTCTTGTATCTTGGAGTTACCTCACAGAGGGTATCTTCAAGTACTCCACAGTATCAGAAGCTGAGAAAGAAACAGAGTAGAATAACAACTTGTTAGGTTTCAACATTGGATAAATTGTTGGCAATCTTGGGTAGAGGTAAGGTAATAAAGGCCAGTTTGGAGACGTTAATTAGGGGTAGCCTGTCATGGAGAATGCATCAGTGTAAATAGTTGGTGAGATGAAAAGGAAAACCACATGATGTGTTGAGGAGGGGGTTAGAGAATAGGAAATGGCATCCTGATGGATCATTGAAGAATCATCCTGGGGTACGGGCAGGACTGGGGTCAGGGAAACTCCCATGGAAGAAGGTGCCAGTTCCTCACAGTGACAAGTTTATCAGTGATGGGACACATAATTGAGCAAGTAAATGTATAGCCTTCAAGGAGGCACGTGTAAATTGTGGTGATACATACGTACATAAGCGATCCTCCCTGCCTGACTCGTACTCTTCAAGGGCAGGGAGCATGTCTTTTTGATCTCTGTCAGCATTTTGTCCAGCTCAGTAGCTTTGTGTGCTACTGAACTGATTATTGGGTACCATACAGGCTATTTTTGAAAAAAGTCTAAACTTTGGCTAGGAGATAAGTTCCCATAACCTATTTGAGCTTAATTTCTGCATCTAAAATGAGAAACTAAATTTGATGTTTTAAAAATGTGTGTTTGAGCTCTTAAACTCTGTACTAGTCAAATTCTCATTCGAAAGGAAATTGGGATGGTCGATTTGGCTGGAGGTGGGTATTGGCATATTTAGAAATTCTTTTTATTATTGTTACTGTGAAGGTTATTCCCCTTTATATTTTACTTATTTGTCAAAAAAAGATTGTCACATTGAAAAAAGTTACTCTCATTTTAAAATTTTTAGTTAACCCAGAAAAACAAAAGAAACATCACTTATAATCCTACTTCTCACAGACTCTCGCTGTTCACGTTTTGGAATCCCTGCCCTCCTCTTGTCTTTTTTTCTAGTTTTTTTCCTGTATAATCATGGAGGCCTTTAAAAAAAAAGACTAAAAACCAAACTGTTTTATAGTCTCCTTGATTCCTTTCTAGTATGTTGTGAATGTTTTTCTCTATCAGTAAATATTCTTTTTTTATCCTGGGTGGTTCTTGTAATCAGGCAAATTTTGGAAACACTGGCTGGGGCTAGATTCAGAGAGCTAGACAGGTTAAAGGAAGAGGGGGGAAAGAAAGTTCATTTAAATATGGGAGTGAAAGGTGAGTACAGTGACATACTTGGCACACATCTCACTGTTAGCACTTCCCAGATATGTTGGACCGGCATGGAGTTTACTTTTAGGGTGGTCTTTGGAAGACAGGTGTTTGGGACTAGGTAGTCAAGACTCCTGATTGCCTTGGTGAATACTTTTGCATAGAATCAACCTGTTTGCCAGTAACGTCTGGTTCCTTGAAGGTCTTCTCTGCCTAGCAGACTATTCCTCAGAGTTAGGACATTGCTTGGTTAATTGAGAGAGTCTGCTGAGTAGTGTGAGCCAGCAGTGTCCTTTTTAGAATACCATCATACACTCAATTATATTATCTCCGTCTGCTGGCAGGGAGGAACTATTGCCATGACTGGTATAGAAGACCTTCAGGGAAAACTCTTCAGGTAAGAAGAAACCTTGACCCTTGTCAAGTCAGAGGCCAGGGCAGCGGTGTGCACGTGAAAATGGGTTTTGGAATTGGAGCCCTATCCCTCTTGAGCTAACCCTTAGAAATTTCTAGAGTGATAATTTCATCCCTAAAAGGAAAAGCATCCTGAGTTATGCTGTTTGTAACACATGGTGACTGTACTGAGAAAATTTTTGTATTTCTCTGCTTTGAGTCCGCTAATCTATGTGCCAGGCACTGTGGCAGAGCACAGCCCTATAAAAAGTGTGCTTCGTTATTCTCGTTTTACAGTTGAGGAAACTGAACTCAGAGAGCTTAAATAATGTGCTAGGAAGCATCAGAGACCAGATTCCAACCAAGGTCTGCCCAGTGCTCTTAACCACTGTGCTGGTGTTACCACTCCTCTCCAAATCTTTTCCTTGGTGTGGTGAGTCACCATTGTAAAAACAGCAGATTCCTACTTCCTTCTCTCTGTCCTTCCATCCATCTTTCCAACGAATATTTAGAATATGAAATACATGCTAGACACATTGGTGAACATTACTGCCTGGCTCTTGAGGGTAACTCATAGGACTAACATAGCTATTTTGAAATAACTGAGTGCTAACAGCATTCATTCATTCATGTATTCCACCAGTCTTACTTGAGCATCTGCTGTGTGCCTTTATAAGGTTTAACGGTGGACACGAGAGTAGGGTCTGCCCAAAGGAGTGTGCAATTCATTGTGAGGAGACTGACAATAAAAAAGTAATTTATAAAGCATAAGTGCAGTATCCTAGTGCGGTGGCAGTTATAAACATAGTAATATGATAAAGAGTAAGGGGGTGCCTTGTGGGGCACTGCTTTGGAAAGAGTAATCAGAGATTCTGAGGAGGTGACAATAGAGCAAATTTTTTTTTTTAAAAATTTATTTGACAGAGAGACAGCTAGAGCGGGAACACAAGCAGGGGGAGTGGGAGAGGGAGAAGCAGGCTCCTGGCTGAGCAGGGAACCTGATGCAGGGCTCGATCCCAGGACCCTGGGATCATGACCTGAGCCAAAAGCAGATGCTTAACAGCTGAGCCACCCAGGCGCCCCAGTAGAGCAGATTTGAAGAGTGAAGGGATAGAACTAGCCAGCCACATGAAAACTATCCAGAGAGGGAATAACAAGTACAAAGGTTCAGGCAAGAAAGAGTTTAGACCATCTGAAGACCAGAAAGGAAGCCGATGTAGTGGAAGCTCTGTGAACAAGTAGAATAACATGAGTGGAGAGGGTTGGCGACCAGACCACATAGAATTCTTGTAGGCAGTGAAGTGCCATGATCTGGTTGGTTGATATATATATGTGTGTGTCAATCTATATGTATATAGATATATATATATATATATATTTTTTTTTTTTAAGCTTTACTTATTTGACAGCACGAGCAGGGCGAGTGGCAGGCAGAGGGAGATGGAGAAGCAGGTTCTCCGCTGAGCAGGGAGCCTGATGAGGGACTCGATACCAGGACCCTAGGATCATGATCTGAGTTAAAGGCAGATGCTTAACCAACTGAGCCACTCAGGTGCCCTGATTTATGTTTTATAAAGATTGCTCTGTGGTAGAATAAATTTGAGTGGGAGGCAGAACATTTAGGCAAAAAATGGAAGTCGGGCCAGTTAAGAGACACCTGATAGTCTAGAGGGGAAATTGGTGGTAGTGGTGGCAGGAAAAGAAGGCTAGATTCCATAAATATTTTTTTATTTTTTTAATATTTATTTGTCAGAGTGAGAGGGAGCACAAGCAGGGGGAGCAGCAGGCTCCCCGCTGAGCAGGGAGTCCGATGCGGGACTTGATCCCAGGATCCTGGGATCATGACCTGAGCTGAAGGCAGATGCTTAACTGACTGCGCCACCCAGGTGTTCCTCCATAAATATTTTAGAAATAGAGGCAGGACTTACTGGTTTATTGATTGGATATAGGAGATGAGATGAAGGGGTTTTTGACTACAGCACAGTGGCTTTCATGCAGAATAAAAATTTATTCAATCAAAATTTCTTAAGTAGGTTACTGTCAGGAAGGTAATTTAAGAAAAGGTATTGTATGTATTAGTGCATCAATTCTAAACAATTCGGAACAAGGAAGGATGATGCTTGGTGAAAGCCTCGAGTAAGCATTTTGAAATGACTTAGCAATTCAACTTTGGGAGGGTAATTGTTTTATAGGTGATTACCAGAATTCTAAAACAGAGTCAAAAAGGACTTTAGGACTAAACTTCTCTAATTACCTCAGCTTAAGGATTAAGAAACTGAGTGCCAGAAAGCTGAAGTTGACCATCCCAAGGATATTCTTAGAATAACCAAAGTCTCCCCCTCAAAAAATTTTTTCTGGGGAACACTAGGTTAATATTTAACCAAAATTGAGTTGACTAAAATAATACACAGTCTGATAGTTTTGTATTTTAAAATAGTTCGAAGGTATGCCAAAACTTTGATAGTGATTAAGTAAATTCTTATTTTTCAGATATTTCTATTTAGTGTACATTAGGCACTCTTTTCAAGGCTGCCAGAGTTAAATGTTTGAGAAAAAGATTCATGAATGGACTACATGTAAATACACTTAGAATTGTGAAGTTTTAAAAACTTGCTAAGTTTTAAGGTCAAGTTCTACCTCGGATTTTAGAAACTAATTCCTAGAAGATGAAGAAACTTTGAAGATTCTTCAAGTGTAGATTTGGTAGTAAGATAAATGTAAAGGTCATTGTGTGTAAAGGTCATTGTGGAATGAAAGAGTTGCAGCTGGGAAGGGCACAGGACTTGAAGTTTAAGTGCGTACAAAGAGGCTGGTGAAAAGGGGGAATGATTGCCCCTTATTTAGCTAGACACTGCCCATGTGGAGTTGAGTTTAATCTTTCCTTCTTTTTCCCTGGTGGGAAGTTTACTTTTGTGGAAAGTGTTAATTGGGAAGGAGTGGGGTCCATTATTTATATTTTTGTGAAGATAAAACTGCCTGAAAAGAGAGGTGTCCCAACTCTGTCCCATAGGCTTGTCATGACTTGATATTTTTTGTAGCTTGGGTGGCCTTCGTGACTTGAAGAGCCATATAAGAGCAAGAACCATGTTCTCAACCTTTATTGGATTATAAAGGCTTCTCTTGGTACCCAGTAGGCACCACTGCCTACAGGAGTCCTAGGTGGTCTGGTCTCCTGCCAGCCAATGCAGTAAGTGTGTGGTAGGCACTCAAGTAATGCTAAACTGAATGTGTGTGAAGCTGCTACCATCTGAAGACCATCGTTGAAAACCCATTTTTGTGCCTTGCATTATTAAAGTAATTGCCACATGGCTGCATTTTCCTGACATAGTGATTCAGAGGTCTGTAAAAGATCAACTGGTGATCTTTTATAGGAAGACTCAAATTTTGTGAAAAGCTGGCATAATTTATTTAATAGCCTTTGGATAGAAGTCCTTAATTTTGTGATTTATCACTTGTTTTACTGTCCTGTTCTCTTTATTTGGAAATGGTATTGTGCTTATTTAGTACTAAACCAAGCAAATAAATTTGAATCTTGCTAGGACTTCATAATTCCCCAACTAGGAACTTTCCTTTTAATATCTGTTGGTTTGGTATCTTTTAGGCCTCCCCCAGTATGTGTCCTGTACAGTCTGTTCCCACAACAGTTTTTAAGGAGATACTGCTTGGCTGTACTGCAGCAACTCCACCTAGTAAGGACCCAAGGCAGCAGAGCACTCCCCAGGCTGCCAACTCTCCACCTAATCTTGGAGCAAAAATTCCTCAAGGGTAAGTAAAGCTGTTAAAGGTGTTCATTTGTAATAGGAGGAAAAATGATTTTAGCCATGGTTCATCGTACGTGAGCTTACCTTTGCTCAGGTGGCAAGAATTAACCTGCATTTGGTGTTTCATAGAGAGAGTGTTAGTATAGCTATGTTTGGTGTAATGACCAGCCATTCATCTCAGGTTGTCCAGGGAGGCTTTTCATTCGAGTTTTCAAATTGGTCACGTGTCTTCAGAGGTAAAAAGGGTGATAGGCATACAGAACAACGTGGAAAACATTTAAAAAAATGAGGGAGATGTGAGAAAAGAGCAACTTTCTTGACTTGATAAAGTGAGCAGAATCCATTGAAATACTATAGACAGTTGTAGAATAAATGTCTGCTTTAAGGAAAAGGGAGCATGTTGGTTGTATGTAGAAGACTGAGGTCAATGGGAGTGTGGAGAACCCGGAAACATGGTGATGGTGGTTCTTATCAGCCCAGATCTCAAATATAGGTGAGAAACTTGGCTGCAGAGAAAATAAGTCATGGAAATGAGGGTGCAGTAGCCGTAGGAGGAATAGGTTGCTAATTTGTAAGTGAAGAAAATGAGTAAGAAATGTGAAGTGTAACCAGAGATTTAAAGTGGCTACCAGGTTACCGAGACAAGACTTTTAAGGGAAGACTCTCTCTTAGAAGGGGTGGTGGCTTGTGCAGGCAATTGATAAAAGCTTAAGATACAGGTCAGAGAGACAGTGGTATAGAAAGGTGGGCTTGGGGCGCCTGGGCGGCTCAGTCGGTTAAGCATCTGCCTTCGGCTCAGGTCATGATCCTGGAGCCCTGGGATCGAGCCCCACATTGGGCTCCCTGCTCAGTGGGGAGTCTGCTTCTCCTTCTGCCCTTCCCCCTGCTCATGCCCCCTCTCCCTTTCTCTCTTTCTCAAATAAATAAATAAAATCTTTAAAAAAAAAAATCGGTTTGGAAGAGTGCTGCAATAAGAGGGGAGAGTGGCTGAGCACATTGGTTCGTTGGGAAGAAAGTAGGCTGTCCGAGATGAGCTTGGAATATGGTCAAAGAGCAGGTAGAAGGAGGAGCAGTTTTCAGAGTAGAAAGAGGGAATAGTAAGAAGTACAGCGTTACCCAAGTCAAATGTGAGTATTTAAATGAAGAAATTCTTGGGGCGCCCTGGCTGGATCAGTCGGTGGGGCATGTGATTCTTGATCTCAGGATTGTTAGTTCAAGCCCCAAGTTGGGCATAGAGCTTACTTAAAAAAGTTGTTTTTTTCTTTTCAAGGATGAAATCCCTTATTAGAGACATGGAAAGAAAAGTTTAATAGGAAAAAAGGACTTTGTGTTTTGCTGGAGAAACAACTTTAGGATGAATTTCAGAGAAACAAAAGTTCTTTAAAGATACCGTGTTTTAGGGTAGAGGATGGGAGGAATACCAGATCATTCTATGAACAAGCAAGTAATCAATTGGCTCTTCAGTTGCTTTGGGTCCTGATCACTAACCAAACAAGAATGGAATTACCCAGTGTCAGGGCTGGTTCCATATTGTTCCATGTAGCCAGACCAGGTTTCGTGCTGCTTGTTGGTTTTGGTTCCATATGATACCCAGTTCATTTTGAAGGAAAGCTAAGGTTCATCATGCTGTAATATATAGAAGTAACTTTTGAAGTAGTGAAGGATTTATAAGAACATCAGATAGGATTTAGGGTTATATTTTCCTGAGTGTTTAAGATGTTTTTGCAGAGCCATTGACTTGATTATTTTTAACTCCAGCTCACAGAAACCTATCCTACGTTCTTTCATAACATAAGCATTTTTTTCTCTTTCATATTGGTTGCCTTAGGGTACCAAACAATTGTTTTTGAAAGGTAGAGGAGAGGTAGAAGAGACCTAGATGCTAGTTTTTCATATTCTTTGTTTCAGATGTCATAAACAGATTTTACCAGAAGAACTTTCTTCCTGTCTCAATACAAAGCCTGAAATACTGAGAACAAAACCAGACGTCTGCAAAGTAGGATTGCTGTCTTCAAAGTTCTCTCAGATTGGAACGGGAGACTTAAAACCCCTTAGTGAACCAAAAGGTAGCTGTACCCAGCTGAAGACCAACACTGATAAGGAAAACAAATTGGAATCTGTTTCTCAATCATCGACTGGCCTTCCTAGGGAGTGCTTACCTACAAAGCCTTCTACAGCAGACCTGGAAATTGCCAGTACTCCTGAACTGCAGAAGCACCTAGAATATGCACCTTCTACATCTGATGTCCTTTCAAATAAGCCAGAAGAGAAAGTAGGTGTCAATAGTAATAGCCCTAATAGTTGTGTGGAAAAGAAGATAGAACCTTCAACTTTAGGATGCCAGTCACAGAATTTGAAGGAATCTTCAGTAAAAGTAGATAATGAAAGCTGTTGTACAAGAAGCAACAATAAAATCCAGAATGGTGAGTGTTTGTACATGTCTTTATTGGTAGAAGAGATGGTAGTGGGTACATGTATATTTTCTTACCTTATGAGAAAATAATATGAAAATGACTCTAGAAGAAGTTCATACAGGGGCACCTGGGTGGCTCAGTTGGTTAAGCAGCCAACTCTTGATTTCGGCACAGGTCATGATCTTGGGGTCCTGGGATTGAGTCCCATGTTGGGCTCCTTGCTCAGTGGGGCGTCTGCTTGAGGATTCTCTCTCCCTCCCTCTCTTCCTCTCCCGGCTTGCACACATTTCCGTGTGTGCACGCACTCTCATAAATAAATAAATCTTAGGGAAAAAAAGGGGGGGGAGAAAAAGTTCATACAGTTGGAAAAGTTCAAAGGAAAAAGTAACATCCCCAAATCTCCTCAGAAATGGTTACTGTTAATATCTTGGTGTACGTAGTGGAGTAGTTCTACGTATATTAGAAGTACAGACAAACTCTTACACAAATGGGTTTATAGCAACAATTTTATCCTGTGAATTAGTGTAGGTGTCTATCAACATTTTAAAGGCTGCAAGGATTCCATTATGTATGCATTTACAGGTGACTTACCTATTAGATGGGTAATTAGGTGGTTCCCAGTTTCTGGTTGTAAGCAAATAATTTTGAAACAAAATCTAAAGTAATCTGATGATTATTTCATCTTCAGCTTATCACTGATTTTTGTGTGATGGGTGGTTCAGTCGGTTAAGCATCCAACTCTTGATTTCAGCCCAGATCATGATCTCAGGGTTGTGAGATCGCTCTCCGTTCAGGCTCTGCACTGGGCATGGAGCCTGCCTGGGATTCTCCCTCTCCTTCTGCCCTTCCCCAGTCCCTTTCCCTCCCCGACTCTAAAAAAAAAAAAAAAAAAAGAAGAGATGATTAATACTTTATGCTCATGCAAGTAGTTCAGAGCTGCAATTTTTTTTTTTTTTTAAAGACAGAATTATACCACCTCTAGATAAAAGGACTTTTGGTTAAAGATTTTAACGACAGACTGAAACACCAGGCAGAGTTTCTTTGCCTAAGGGGAAGTCCTACTGCATTCACAGTTTAAAAACTGTGTACAATCATACCTCATTTTATTGTGTTTTGCTTTATTGCACTTTACAGATACTGCATTTTTTTTTTTTAACAGATTGAAGGTTTGTGATATCCCTGTGTCAAGCAAGTCTCTTGACACCATTTTCCCAACAATATTTGCTCACTTGTAGTCTCTTTGTCACATTTTGGTAATTCTTGTAATATTTCAAACCCTTTCATTATCATTATATTATGGTGATTTGTGGTCAGTGACCTTTATGTTACTGTTGTAATTATTTTGGGGTGCCACAGACCGCACCCATCTAAGATGACAGACTTAGTTGATAAATGTTGCATTGTTCTGACTGCTCCACCAACCAGCCATTTCCTCATCTCTCTCCCTCTCCTCCGGCCTGCGTATTCCCTGAGACACGAAAATACTGAAATTAGGCCAGGTAATAACCCCACAGTGGCTTCTAAGTGTTCACGTGAAAGGAAGAGTTGCACGTCTCTCACTTTGAATCAAAAGCTAGAAATGATCAGGCTTAGTGAGGAAGGCATGTTGAAAGCCGAGATAAAGCTAGGCCTGTCACGCCAGACAGTTAGCCAAGCTGTGAATCCAAAATAAAAATTCTGGAAGGAAATTAAAGAGTACTACTCCAGTGAACACGCGAATGGTAAGAAAGTGGAACAACCTTACTGTTGATACGGAGGCAGTTTTAGCAGTCTGGATGGCAGAGCAAACCAGCTCCAACATCCTTAAGCCAAAGCCTAGCCCAGAGCAAGGCCATTACTTTCTTCAATTCTATGAAGGCTGAGAGGTGTGAGGAAGCTGCAGAAAAGCTTAAAACTATCAGAGGTCGGTTCGTGAGGCTTAAGGAAAGAAGCACCTCCGTAACATAAAAGCACAAGGTGAAGCAGTGAATGATGGAGAAGCTGCAGCAAGTTAGCCAAAGATCTAGCTCAGCTCATTCACGAAGGTGGCTACACTACACGACAGACCGGAGGAAGATGGCAGCTCAGACTTTCATAGTGAGGGAGGAGGGGTCAGTGCCTGGCCTCAGAGCTTCAAAGAACAGGCTGATTCTGTTGCTAATGCAGCCAGTGACCTTAAGGTGAAGCAGTGCTCATGTACCATTCTGAAAACCATAAGGCCCTTAGGTTATGCTAAATCCACACTGCCTGTGCTCCAGAAATAAAACAACAAAGCCTGGATGATAGCACATTTGCTTACAACATGGTTTACTGACTATTTTAAGCCCACTGTTGAGGCCTACTGCTCAGAAAAAAAAATGCCTTTCAAAATATTACTGCTCACTGACAATGTACCTCTCCACCCAAGAACTCTGATGGAGATATCCAAGATTAATGTTTTCATGTCAGCTAACATCACCCATTCTGCAGCCCATGGATCAAGGAATAATTTTGACTTTCAAATCTTCTACATTTTGTAAGACTATAGCTACCATAGACAAATGTTTTTTCAATGGATCCAGGCTCTTGCACACTTAATAGATTGTGGTATAGTACAACATTTACATGCACTGGGAAACCAAAGCATGCATTTGATTTGCTTTACTGTGATACTCGCTTTATTGAGGTGGTCTGGAACCACACACCTGCTGTGTCCCCAACATAGGCCTGTACTCTAGAGAAAATGCTACATTGTATTTCATACTGCTTCTGTTAAGTTTGAGGATGCATTCCACTGATGGTAGTTACCACAAGTTCTCCTGTTAGAATTAGTAGAACTAAATGGCTTCGGTATGTCAAAAGGTTCAGAGCTATTACAGTTTAAAAATACCTTTGATAATTGTCAGCTGTGTGGGAAAATTAGCATGGATTTTGATAGCTTTTAAAAAACTTAATACAAAACACTGTGCACTTTGATAAGTAGGAAACGAAATGTATGCACAATTTAGCTTTTATCTCAGGCTCTGAAGCTAGAGAGAAAATGGATGGATTTGACTGTTGGTCTTTGGATGCAGAGTTAAAGGAGTAGGAAAACCTGTCTTTGCCTAGTAATACTTCTAGCCCAGCTTCTACATTCTTGGGCTTAAGTTGATAGGGCTGTTGATTTGCATAAAATTAATTGCTAAGATTATACTGTTTCTTCTTGAATTATATAACTCCCCAAAGAAAGTGAATATTCATAACCATATTTCTGTTCTATTTTTTTATTCTTCTTGAGTCATCAGGCCTTACATTCAGATAGTTTTTGGAGGCAAATTAATGTTGCGTAAAGAAACAATAAAAATTCTATATCGATAAGCACATTATAGGTCTATAAATGAGTTATGGAGTCTCGCTTTGTCTCTTTATGTGTTGTACAACTGTATACCAGCTAAAGTGATTTTTAGAGAAATAAAAAACCTAATTAAATATCCTCGTGCATGTTGTCTACTGGGACATCTGGTTGAAGAGCAAGAGAGTGTGATCAGGATCTCTGCGCTGTGACCACTGGTACTGCTTGTGGGTGTGGAAAGACTCGACTGGAAGCTATTTTGTCCCCTGCATCCTTCTCCAGTTTGGGGCTAGAAAACAAAAGCAGGCTGAGTCGAAGAACAGCTGTCTTTTTTCTGTTAGGTAAATGTGTGATTCCTTAGAAGTTGGCATATCTTTTTTCTCTTGGCTCTCCTCCAAATTTGTGAGAATCATTGACTGGGTCAACTATTGCTCTCCTTGCTAAAGAGCTAGACTTAGGTAGTTCAACTTGCTTATTTATAGGTATTTCCTCTTGTAAGTGAGGGCAGAACAGATAACCTTTGGACCCTTTGCCCATGGTCTGTGAAAACCTGGTCCAACCTAGAAGGTGATGTCTATTTCAGTATCTGAGTGATTAAAATTACATCCTTGAACTATTGATCACTTTATTTTCTGTTCTTACTGTATCTTTTCTTTCACTATAACTGAATAAAGAATGCTTAAGGGATCACGGCCTGAGAGTCAGCATCCGTTTAGCATTTTGTAGTGTGCTCTGGCTGTACTTTGAGAGGTTAAGATGGGATGTCTCGGTGGCTCAGTCAAGGATTTGCCTTCGGCTCAGGTCATGATCCCAGGGTCCTGGGATCAAGTCCCGCATCGAGCTCCCTGCTCAGTGGGGAGCCTGCTTCTCCCTCTGCCTGCTGCCTCCCCTGCTCGTGCTCTCTCACTCTCTCTTTCTCTCTGACAAATAAATAAATCTTTAAAAAAATAGAGGTAAGATTAGAATATTGCTAAGGTCATTATTAAAGATACTTAGTTTATTTAAAGCCTTCTTTGCTTTGAGATCTTTCACTTTCCTCCACAACTACTAACCTATCCCAGCTGTCTCTCAACTGGTTCCCCAAAAGTTGTTTCTTGGGTTTTGTTTTTGTTTTTTGTTTGTTTGCCAAAGAATTTACATCCTTGCTCCCTTGGACTCCGAGGGAAGGTCTTTTCTGTTGATTTCATATGAAATACTCCTCAAGGCTCTTGACATTATAAATAAATAAATTTTAAAAATCTATAAATAGATTCATTTCTGTGTTATTTGGGTTGATGCAGTTGATGCAAAGATCACTCTTTCCTGTCAGATCTCTACTTTTTCTCACCTTTTTCTTTAGAAACTGTGTTAACATTTCCTTTGAAGTTCTCCTGCCCATTACATGTTAAGACTTAAAAATGCCTTTACTTAAAATCGTAATCCTATCTTTAGTCACTCCCTTCATCCTGAATGGAACATATGTGTGAAGGAAATTGAAGAAGTATCAAGGGTCAAGTGACACTTCTTGGAAGCATTTTAGAAGATAGTTCTTATTTTATAGACCCAGGGGCCTGTGTGGGAAAACTATTTGGCTGTTACTATATTTAGAATGGTTAGCTTTTGCACAGTGCTCTAGAAAACACACTTTGTGTGCTTTGAAACAGTCTTTGAAAAGTGACAGAATTGACTTGCACACAGATCTCTGTTGAGGTGAACCTATCTCTGGGCATTGTTAATGTTGCAATGGGTTTAAGTATCTGATTTGGAAGAGTCTTCCTAAAATATTTTTCTTATCTAGGGTTGTGAATAGAAGTACACACTACCTCGGAATTATGAGTCTAGTTGTTGAATTTGGGGTTTTAAGTTGCCTTGCCCAATGGATTTACCAAATGAGAATTATTCTATAAAGCTAGTAAAGCTTTCCAGTTCTGATGGTGGTTTTATGTTAAGCCAGTTTTAGAAATTACAGTTGAATCAGTATTTAAGGAGTTCTCCTTTTGGGAAAGCTGGCCTTTGGAAAAGAATTCAGTCAAATGTTGGGGTGACTTAAAAATTTGAGGTCTCATTTCTTTAATCTTCTGTTTTCCTAGCCCCCTCCCGGAAGTCGGTTTTGACAGACCCAGCCAAGCTCAGGAAGCTACAGCAGAGTGGTGAGGCCTTTGTGCAGGATGACTCCTGTGTCAACATCGTCGCCCAGCTGCCCAAGTGCAGGGAGTGTCGCTTGGACAGCCTCCGCAAGGATAAGGAGCAGCAGAAAGACTCGCCTGTGTTTTGTCGCTTCTTTCACTTCAGGAGGTGAGGCATTTGGGGAAAAGCTCAGGTAATCTGGGCCCCATAGCATACTTTTTCCCCCTCCTCCTCTATCAACAGTAATTCTAGAACTACAGAGGGTGAGGATTGCATTTTTAATCTCTGGCTTTGAATGTCTAGATCTTATCCCATGTTATTTCCTTCTCAATCTTTCTTTCAGTTTGTTTTTAAAGGAGAGAAGCCTAAACATACAACCTTCTCTTCTTAAAACTAATAAACATTATAGAAAAATGTTGAAATTTCTAAAAAAAACCCACCCCCTACAAATAAACACTGTTAACTTGTCAGTGCATTTTAGTTTTTGTATGGTCATAAAATATATTCAAGCATACCTATTTGGGTATATAGTATATACTGTATTGAATCTTCTCAATACCTAGTAGGAATCCCTTGGTCGTGGTAGCTTTTTTCTGCAAAAACTTTGAATAGCTAGGTAGGAACCCATAATAGTATTTGAAAGTTCACTTAACCAATTTTCTTACTGGTGTTAGGATTATTTTGTGGGGTTTGTCACTAAAAATAATACACAATCATCCTGTCCCCATCTCTCATTGTTTACTTTGGAAGGATTACTGGAAGTGGCATTACCAGGTCAGAAGCCTTGTGTGTTTTAGGCTTTGATACATATGTTCTGCCAAATTGCCCTACAGGAAGGTTGCACCTGTGGCAGGCCCCCTCGGGCAGCGTTTAAGCATTCCTGTCTCTGTGTACTTTTGCCAGCAGGAAGAGGCATATGTTTTTTAAAAAAATCTTTCCTAATTTTATAGGCATAAACTTTCATTTTTATACTGTATTTTGTTAAGTCAAATTTTCTCAATTCTTCTATTCTTAGTGAAGAAAAAAGCTGTTTCTTTTTCGTTGTCATCTACTTTTTGATAAATAAATGAGCAGTGTTATTCTGGATATAGGTTAACTTTAAGTATGTTTCACTTTCTCAGAAATGTAGATACTTTCAGGCTCGACTAGTCCTAATCATAAACACAAATGTTGACCTGAATTTCTTCCTATTCACCTCCACCCCTTTAGTTTTATCAAGATTAAAGAGTGCTGAAGAACTGAATTAGCTGCACAGGTATTTTAGGTCGTTGATTATATCAGTTCTGGTAACTTTTAGATTTGGGCTTATTTTAATGAACTCTATAGAGTCTTTTAGATGGTAGCTTGCCCCATTCGTTCCTGAGTAAATTGCAAATGTACCATGATGAAGTGTGTGGCTAGTATTTAGAACTGTAATAATTGCTAGCATGTTAGTGTATTTTATTAACATATTTTGAATAACACGTGGCCCAGAATAACTTCTTAATAAAGGTTAGTTCCACTTCCTCTCCGGAGAATTTTTTACACAGGTAAGTGTGTTAAGATGCATATGCCATGGGTTCTGACATATATTTTGAAGAGAGCACAAAATGTTACGCTTTGTACAGATCTATGTATTCCTATTACACACTTAGTCTCATTATGGTTCCTTTGCTCTGAAACGTATAAGCAGACTGGAGGGGAGAGATTGATTTTGGTTTTAAGTGGCAGAGGCCTTTTAAGGAGGAGACATTTAGTTTTTTCTTTTGAATATTACCAGACCTTTTTTTTAAACCACTATTTTGTAACCATCTAGAAATCACTGATTTTATGACTTCACTGTTTTCCCATTTTTGACCTCTTTGAAGGGGAAAGCGCCGTTGCTTAATGTTGCATAGTAGAAGCCAGTCTAGTGGAAATTAGAACAAATTCACTTCTTGGGTAAAAAGAATGTCATAATTTAGGGGCGCCTGGGTGTCTCAGTCATTAAGTGTCTGCCTTTGGCTCAGGTCATAATCCCAGGGTTCTGGGATCGAGCCCCGCATCAGGCTCCCTGCTCCGCAGGAGGCCTGCTTCTCCCTCTCCCACTCTTCCTGCTTGTGTTCCCTCTCTCGCTGTGTCTCTCTCTGTCAAATAAATAAATAAAATCTTTAAAAAAAAATGTAATAATTTAAAGAATAGAGCCTTTTTTCCCCCCCTGATGTTTAAAGAGAAGATTAAGGCTGTCATTAGCCTCCTCCCCAAATTTGTTTCTTAATTACATTCTCCTGCAGATAAAATAGGAGGGTTAGGGTCTCAGTGCTAAAGCCCAATTGCCAAAGCCTATTTGCCATCTCCCCCTTTGAAATAGCTTTCAAATTCATTTTTTAATATTGAAACTGTCTCTTAATTTGGGCTGTTGATTAAAAATTTGCATCTCTCCTTTGGACCACTTGAAATTAATTCACATCTGTTAAGCAACATCCAGTGTCCTTCCAGTTCATTCTACACTCTTCTGGACAAATGGTTTTTCTAAAATACAACTTTAGGTGTGTCTCACGGGCTCGAAGACTTGGTAGCTGGCCAGTGACCAATGGAGAAATCAAGATCCCTGCATTTTTCTTTCTTTTGTATGAAATACCGTTTCCTTGACATGCTTCTCTTAGCTAATGTCTACCTTTTCTGGTAAGGCCAGTCTTAATCACTGTCACTACCATGAAGTCTTACTATTAGTCCTACAAAACTCATAGTACTTCCTCCTCGGGCTCCTATAAGATTTAATGATTGTTACGATATCCTACCTACTTCACTGTGTATTTTATGTCTACTTCTGTGTCTCCAACTAGATTGACATGTCATTTCGAATGAATTTTGAAAAAATTCAAAACTAATATGTAGCTTAGGAAAAACAGGTGTCAAAGATATTGAAAGAGAATCTTGAGAAAGTATTCTGCCTTTTTGCTCCACTTCAGGTACTTAGGTCCGTCTTAAACTGCCTCTCATTCCAGATGCTTACACAGTAATTTGCAGCTAGGATTCATATGGGTGCTGAATTCCTCATGGATCTTTGTGGTCATGGCTTCAGGGACTGTCTAGGGTTAGCCTTCCTTTGCTGAGCATTATTCTTGAAGGAGTGGTTGTATTCAAATCTGATCAGATTATCTCTCACCTTCTGTTGTTTTCCGTTTTCTTCTGTGGTGACTTGTGATTGTCCTTGCTGTTAAGTCCCAAGTCTGGAAGGTTCAACAGCTGCCCCTGGAGGCAGTATGATTAGATCTTGGTTGAAGTGCAAAACACCTCTCCCCTGCCTCCCTCCCCATGTCCTCCGAGGGAAAACTTGGAAATTTTAAATCTTTTAAATGTTTTCACTGACCTTGCCAAGTAACAATTGGCTATATTAGCCATGGAGATTATAGAAAACTGGGAAGGAATTCGTTGATCTTAAATAGAAACTACAAGATGTAAATCCAATTTTGTGTGTGTGTGTAACACACTTTTTCCTCCACTTCCTCTAGGTTACAGTTCAACAAACATGGTGTGTTGCGGGTAGAAGGCTTCTTAACACCAAACAAGTACGACAGTGAAGCAATTGGCTTATGGTTGCCCTTAACCAAAAACGTTGTGGGGACTGATTTGGACACTGCGAAGTATATCCTGGCCAACATTGGAGACCACTTCTGTCAAATGGTGATTTCTGAAAAGGAAGCTATGTCAACTATTGAGCCACACAGTAAGAGCATCTCTTAGGGGGTAGGATTTTTGAGTCCAACTTGATTTTGTTCCTAAATGACACCTAAGTTCTAATTGCATGGGTTTCATTGTCACCCAGAAGTTTGCATGACTTTGGTATAATGAAGTTGCATTTTCCCTTTTATAACTGCCTGTTGGTTTCATCAAAGTCAGTCACCTATCTCTGGGGTTAATTTTGGGGCAGGTATCAAAGGAGTGAAACTCCTTTTTTGTTAAGAAAGGTGAAGGTGAGGTAGTGGTAGAATTTGCACAGCCTTTATCAGCAGTATGGGCTCATCAAAAGGGGATGATGCCTCAGGTTGGGTTATTTTTTAAGAAAAAGGTTCATAATCAGGAATGCGTTTCAAAAATAAGAACGGACAGGCTCTGTTCTATACCTACTAAATCAGAATCTGGGGGGCTGGGTCCCAGGCATGAGAATGGGAATAAGCTCAAGTGAAAAGGATTCTGTTAGAGTCAAGGTTTTAACAGGATACTTGGAGGTTCCAGCTGGGTGAATGCTGATGTCTTCTCCTCTCTTAAGAGCATTCTAACACTGATCTGGCAGCCCAGTAAACCACAGGGATCACTGTGAGTGACACATGAGAACTGTATGATATCTGGGAGAACAGCACACTTCTGTTTTGTATGCCTCTGTAAAAGTGAGGTATGCAGCCAGAAGCTCCCAGGAGCAGCTGTTTTTAAAGTCTCATGCTTTCTTCCATCATTTTATCTTTCCCAAATGTTTGAAACTTAAAAGTGAAGTCTTTCATTTCTCGTAGATATCTTTTCAGACTTTGCATAACCAAGTATGTTTCAATACAAGCATCCACACATAGCAGTCTTGAGAAATTTGGTTGTAGGTACCAGAAACTAATTGAAACTAGCTTCACAAAAATAATTTATTGGATAGGTATGGATACTGTTAAATTTCCACGTCCATGGAATGGGAACTGAGGCATTCTGAGGAGCAGGAATTCAGAGGTAGAAAGAGAATGGGATCGTGAGCTCTGGGGCCAGCCAAAGTCACGAGCCAGAGTACTCGGCCAAAGTAAATCACTGTAGAATCACTCCATTCTTTTGGAGTAGTAGAGACTTACAAATCAAGGATCTTATTGAAGTTGTTTTTCTGTAATCTTCTATTAGGATGAGTGGCATTGGTTTCTAATTTTAGTAGAGATAAAGAGTTTCTTAATTATATACATTTAAGTAAAAGTAGTGAGGTTAAAGAAAAATTCTTAAGTAACTGATCTAGAGGTTACTTAGGTAGGTATATAAATGACTGGAATGTAGAAACACTTCTTTGGAATATATTAGTAACTTCACTCCTGAATTAGCAGGACTTGTTAAAAGCAGCTGATGTTTTTTTCTTTGCTCAAGAGAAGTCGTCTGAATAATGGTACAGAAAAAGGTACAGATAGCTGTCATTTAAGAGTATAATTAATAAACTCTGTCCTTGAGGGTTTAAATAGGATTACCTTTTCCTCCTTGCTTTTTTGATTGTCCTCTTCCTCTCTTTCCTCTGCGACAAGCTGGTCGGTTGAAGAGAGGAACTCACTGTGAATGGTATTGACAGATGCACCATAAGATGTTCCTAAAGGGCTTACCCTCTGATCCTAAGATTAGGAAGCAGGTGTCAACCTTTATACATTTGTCCTGTCTTTTCAATGACAAATAATCATTAAATGGGTGGCTGAGAGATCTAAATACTAGTCTCTAATGAAATAGTCTAAACCAAGTGACCGAGGAGAAGTTCATAAAACCTCATTAGTAAAATGCCTAAAGCTCTGTGTATTGTGGGCTGAGCTGTTACATTATAATGAAATGGTAGAAGTTCATTTAGCAGCTGGATTAATTTGGTAAAAACTGAAGTTGATCATTTGTGTTTTGGTCAGTTGAAGAAAGAATGAATAAACCACAGATTGGGTTAGGAAAAAGGTGTTTTCCATAAAACAAGAATGTGACAGTATTGATCCAGTCTTGTTCAAGAGAGACAGACAGACAGAAAAGAGCTTTCTGGTTAACAAACATTGGGCTTTTCTGTGACCCAGGAAAATGTCCTCCCTTTGCACATACTCCTTGAAGCTTTCTGATACTGATTTGGCATTCCCCCATACTGGGGGAAGGGGTATGATGTCTTACCCAGTCCTGCAAGGCCCCTCCGTCTAGTTATCAGGGCTTGGCCACTGCTACAGAAGATACCATTTTGTAGAATCTTGGATTATGCCTCAACCTATTGGTTATTTGGTTAGTGTGAGTCAGTCCTGGATGCCTGCATCACTACTGACACACAAAAAAAATCAAGTTTCTGACTCTGGCCCATGAAGAAACCAACTTTGTACTATTAAGTTAATGTGCTGCTCCCTCCAGGTTCCCTAACCCCCTGGAGTTTTTCATAGGCTGTGTGTGAGTGGATTCAGGGCCTGTGTGAATAATCTGACAATCTATGTTGGCTTTGTATATCTGAGTCATTTTTTTTCCTTTGGAGAAAGCGTGGTCCGTGCTCTCTTCAGATTCTGAAAAGGGCTCATGATCTAAAAGGTGAAAGAACCACTGCTGTGTTGTAATACCTGTGTCTGAACTGCAGCTTCTGTAATCACTGCTGTTTTCTTCAGTGATTTATTCTGCAGTACTTAGTATGTACCAGCACTGTGCAGAGTGGGTGGGGACTAGGTACAGCCCTTCAAGCAGGGATTCTGCTTGTACAGAGCTTCGTTTCCTAGGGAGAGGTAAAACCACACCTGACTGCATACAGTGTGAAGAAGCCTGAGTCCGAAGTACAAATACAAGTTGATGAGAGTACTGAAGGAATCCAGGAGAGCTTCATGGTGGAGGTGGAGAGGTTGCGGGGGAGGCATTTGAGATGGTCTTTGAAGGCTGAACAGAGTTGATGGGAACTCCAGGAAGAGGGAGGAATGACATCAGTTTCCCTCCCCTTTCATGTTTTATTTCAAAAACCCTCTCCTCCCCCAAGACTAAGTGATTTATTGATTTTTGTAGGACAGGTTGCTTGGAAGCGAGCTGTCAAAGGTGTTCGGGAAATGTGTGATGTGTGTGACACCACCATCTTCAACCTGCACTGGGTGTGTCCTAGGTGTGGGTTTGGAGTGTGTGTGGATTGCTACCGGATGAAGAGGAAGAATTGCCAACAAGGTGAGAAATGACTTGATTCTCCTCCAAGCCCCCCTGACACTCTTAAATTAAGCTTTTTATTGATTTGTGGTAAATGGATTTCTGAAATATTTGGGGCCAGAGTCCATGAGGAGCAGTTACTATAAATCATTTATTTGCAGGTGCTTCCTACAAGACTTTCTCTTGGCTGAGATGTGTAAAGAGTCAGATACATGAACCAGAGAACCTAATGCCTACACAGATCATTCCTGGGAAAGGTATTTCATGTGGTGCATTGATTTTCTTTCCCCCTTGTTTTGGTTAGCTCATAGGGGTTGGTCATTTGGTTTTGTATAGTATAATTACTTGATAACTTATCTTAGTATATACCATAAATTGTTCAAAGATATATTGAATCATGCCCCAAAAACTTTTTGATTAAGGCCTTGTGAATAGTTTTGTAGAAGGAAGGAAAAGGATGCATTTGCGGGGGAAGGCATACTTAGGAAGAAAAGGAGAGAATCTAAGCACCATGTTGCTTAAAAGGAAAGTAATTCTGTTGGAAATACCAATTTCTGCTTTGTAATGTTGAGGTTGAAAGTACCTAATACCCTTGTTGAGATGTTTGTCTCTGCCCTTTTTTTAGCCCTCTATGATGTTGGAGACATTGTTCATTCTGTGAGAGCAAAATGGGGAATAAAAGCAAATTGTCCCTGTTCAAACAGGCAGTTCAAACTCTTTTCAAAGCCAGCCTCAAAGGAAGACATAAAACAGGTATACTATTTATGCTATATTCACCATCCTTGAGATTGTTGTCTGTCTTTTCAAATAACCCAAGGATTTCTGTAGTATATTTGAAAGGAGCATGGGGACAGTGTTGAGTGGAAATAGACAACTCCTACATTTTATGTGACACTTCATGGACCCATTCTCACTTTTCACATTTTTGTGGACCTCATCTGTAGCCTCTTTTAGTAGGTTTTAATTTTTGTTCCTTGAAAAAGCAAAAATGTCTTCTATTTTAGTTTACTTAATGAGTTGCTGTTGAATTTTATGTGGGTTTTTAAAAAACTTCTCATGTTTTACAGAGTTAAGATAATCTTTTAAAATTACTGAGTATATATTATCTATATAAGATATATTTGGGGGCGCCTGGGTGGCTCAGTCATTAAGCATCTGCCTTCGGCTCGGGTCATGATCCTGGGGTCCTGGTATCAAGCCCCGCATTGGGCTCCCTGCTCCGCAGGAATCCCGCTTCTCCCTCTCCCACTCCCCAGCTTGTGTTCCTGCTCTCTCTGTCAAATAAATAAAATCTTTAAAAATATATATATATTTGAAGAGTTAAAGGAAATAATATTGAAATGAACTTTAAATACCCATCACTCACCATAAAAAATGTTCATTTCCATGGTGCTCACGTACCTCTTCCTGGTAGCTTCCCTTCACCTCCACCATCACGTCTACCCTACTCTCTCTCCCTTCTTCCCCTTCACCCCACTGTCTTCTCCCATGTCGTATTTGATAGCAGAATTCCACATTTTCCTAAAGCTGTGTTGTGAAAGGCAGTAGAGGTAGAAGAGCTGTGCTCTTTAGATTCAGAACTGAATTTGAATTCTTCGGCCATTTTCTAGTTGCATGACATCAGCTGATTTACATATGCTTCTGCTTCCTCATCAGTAACAGAGGAATTGGGGCGCCTGGGTGGCTCAGTTGGTTAAGCGTCCGACTCTTGATCTCAGCAGCTCAGGTCTTGATCTCAGGGTCATGGGTTCCAGCCCCACACTGGATTTTGCGCTAGGCATGGAGCCTACTTTAAAAAAAAATAAGTAACAGGAATAATAAACAATACTGATAATTGAGTATCACAGAAATCCATCACACGTAAAAGAAAGGCTGGGACCACAGCAGAAATTTGACTGTTTTTCCTTCTTATGTTTGTATAAACTTATCAGCTAAGTCAAGGCAATTTTTAAGTAACAGAAAAATAAGTGGGGTACCCTGTCTAGTTTTTTAAATGTTTGAGTTCTTTTAAGAGCTGTTCATCTCATTTTTAAAGCCTGCTATGCTATGCTAAAATGAAAGAACATTTTTTTTCTCTGCATCTCATTTCCTTCTGAAATCATAGCTGTACCTTTCCTACCCTGCCTCACTCATTCACTCACTCATTCATTCACTCATTCATTCATTCAGCAACCATGTTGTGAGTGCTTATTCAGGATACTGTGGATTCACAGGGGAGATAGGCACAAACTGGTCCTTTTAAAGCAACATGATAGGTGGAGTGATAGAAAATATGTATGAGCACGCAATGGTTGATTAAGGGCTGGGGAGGGATATCTTGCTGTTAAATTCTTAATGTCTTTTGTTTTCACCAGTAATACTTAAAAGTTAAAATTAAAATCTCTTCTACTTTAATAGTTTTGCTCTATTAGTATAAGATTACTGCAGTTGTGGTGATGTCCAGGGCTGTTAGGTGGTTTTGTTTGGGATATTTCTCTCTTACTGGTGAGCTGTTAGGGGAGAAGGTAAGGAAAAGGAAATGTAATGTTTCAGCTTGTGGAAAATTCTCTTTTTAAACTCAACACAGACTTCTTTCGCTGGGGAAAAACCTACTCTTGGTGCCGTGTTCCAGCAGAATCCCTTGGTGTTGGAGCCGGTGCCTGTGGCTGGGGAAGCCGCTTCCAAGCCAGCCAGTAGCATGAAGCCTGCTTGTCCGGCCAGTACCTCTCCCTTAAACTGGCTGGCGGACCTGACCAGTGGGAATGTCAACAAGGAAAACAAGGGTGAGGGTTTCCTGCTTTCCTGTGGGTTCCTGAGAACTTGAGTCCGTTCTCGGAGGGGATTGGCAGCCTCAGCTGCTGTGAGGATAGTGTGATTAGAAGTGTGTGGAATGGAAAGGAGTGGTTCCCTGTAGTCACCAGGGAGACCTGACCGAAATTCAAGTATTTTTAAATGCAGCCCCAAGGGGCACTTGGGTAGCTCGGTTGAGCATTCAACTCTTGACTTCAGCTCAGCTCTTGGTCTCAGGGTTGTGAGTTCAAGCCCCGTCTTGGACTCTACACTGAGTGTGGAGCCTACGTTAAAAGAAAAAAGAAAAAAGAAAAAGAAAAATGTAGTCCCAAAAGGGAGAACTTCTGCTGACAGTAGGACTCTAGGCTGAGATTATGTTTGGCAAGAAAGGAGTGGGCTGAGACTTGTTTGTTTTAATAAATGATTTCTACGTTTCTGTCCTTACCCTCTTGTTCCTGTTTTGTCTAATTGGAATGTTCTGGCTTCAGTTTTATTTTTCTCATCTGTGCTGTTGTCTTAGGATACTTGATGACAGTATAAAGAATACAGGCTTTAGAGTCAGGTAGTTAAATTAGAATTTAGGTGATTCTGCTTTTTCAGCTATGTTACAAGAAAGAAAAATTGGAGGTTAATTTCTTTCATGCAAAGATCCTAAACAAAGTTTTCAGTACTCTCTAGATAAAGGAATTCTATAGTATGACCAAGCAGGGCTTCAGAAGAAAAGTCATGTGCCAAGACATAGAAAAGTAGTAAAATTCAATACCTATGCATGACTTAAAAAAAAACACAAAACTTTTAAATTAGGAACAAAAGGGAACATCCTCAATCTAATGAGTTTCTACAATAAAACTGGCAGCAAACATCATAATGATTGATTTTTTTTTTTTTTTAATTGGCTGAGTATTTTCTTTAACAGTGTGCCTCTCTTCAGGAATAAGAGGATACCTGCCATCACTATTTTATTAAACATTGTGCTGGGAGTCCTGGCTATTGGAGTAAGGCAAACAAAAAAAGATGTTAGGAATGGAAAGAAAGTGATAAAGCTGTTGATACTTTAGACAATCTGATTATACCTGTGAAAAATCTAAAAGTATATTTAATAAATACTTATCTATCAAGTTTGCTAGTTACAATGTTAATTTATAAAAATTTTATTTTATATACCAGGAGCAAACAAATAGAAAATGGAAGTTTAAAAAATACCATTTGCACCATATGATTTCATGCATGTGGAATCTAAAAAAACAAATGAATAAAAAAATCAGACCTATGATTGCCAAAGGGGGGTGGAGGGGAGTGGGAGATACAGGCTTCCAGTTATGGAATGAAGGTGACATGGGAATAAAAGGCACAGCAATAGGGATTACAGTCCATGGTCTTGTAACAGTGTCCTGTAGTGACAGATGGGAGCTACACTTGAGTGAGCACAGTATAACAGAGAAGCTGAATCACGATGTTGTACACCTGAAACTAAAGGAACATTGTCAGCTATACTGGGGGGGAAAATTTAAAAAAAAACAGTATCACCTTGAATGTTGGGTACTTATTGTTTTAATACCAGTGGGAAATCCTTGTCTAAATCAATGATTTCATTAGGATTTATCCTCTTAAGTTTTTTGGTTCTAAAGTAAATGAAAACCAAGTTCCAAAGTAATTCTACTAATAGAAGACAAGTAAGGGATTTGCCTTTCCATCTGGATGTTTTTGGTTTTGTTTCTAGAAAAACAACCGACGATGCCAATTCTAAAGAATGAAATCAAATGCCTTCCACCCCTCCCCCCTTTGAGCAAATCCAGCACAGTCCTCCACACCTTTAACAGCACAATTTTAACACCTGTCAGCAACAACAATTCTGGTTTCCTCCGAAATCTCTTGAATTCCTCTACAGGAAAGGTATACATTTGTCGTATTGTTTGTATTCCGTCTTGTAAAAATGAATAGAGTCAGAAAAGGAGAGACTAGAGAAATTGAAACAGTGGAAAGAAGATACGAATCTTAGGCTTTCCTTCATGGGTACAGAAGGTTTCATTGGCAGGTGGGCTTCACAGGGTTATAGTACCGAGCTGGGCCATTTTTTCATTAAACTTTTTCTGTACCTACTTCTGTGAGTTGTAATGTCAAGTGGGGGAAGGGAATTTACCTATTTGTCTTGGGTCCTGACTTGGACTCTTGGATATTTGATCTTTATCCTAGCATTATAGGAATGGGTTTTTTGATGGTAGGCAATGACCTATTTAAAGACTTGTATTCTTTCTCAAATTCAGACAGAAAATGGACTGAAGAATACACCAAAAATCCTTGATGACATCTTTGCCTCTTTGGTGCAAAATAAAACTTCCTCTGATTTATCTAAGAGGCCTCAAGGACTGACTATTAAGCCCAGCATTCTGGGCTTTGACACTCCTCACTATTGGCTGTGTGATAATCGCTTGCTCTGCCTCCAGGATCCCAACAACAAGAGCAACTGGAATGTGTTTAGGGAGTGCTGGAAACAAGGGCAGGTAAGAAGGGCCTCTGCTCCCCCAACCCAGTTCAGAGCCCCTTTCTCCGTTCTTTTTAGTAGGCTTCTGACAGTCCTGCCCCCCACCCCGCCACCCTTCATTTATAAGTGGTATATACCTTATTTGCTCTTTGTATACTTTAGGGTGAATATAATTAAGGCACTGTAGCTCTGAGTCTTATTTTTTACAGCAGACATTGCTGAGCTCTCTTCCAGTGAGGTTTTGACTGCTTCTAAACCAGTCATCTTTGGGTTTTTGATGAATGCTTTCTGGGCTCTGTGATTCTTGGGTGATAAACCTCAACAGGAGGAGTGCGAGCAAGACTAAGAGGCTGATGGGGCTTGGGGGATTAGACAAAATACAATCAAAATCATGTGTCCCTCTTCCCTGAATTAAAACGCTTATGCTGAAGGCAATTTTAGGTGTGCCAGAGCCATGTGGTGTCCTCTTGGAGTTGGTGTGTGGTCTCCCAGGGGCCTGCATTGTTCCAGCTTACATTTTGGTTGATGGTTTGGGAAATGCATGGCTTTGTGAACCTGCTCCTCTGCTTTCTTGTTTTGGTTTTTGTATTCTGGATCTTTGGCTTCTCTTTGGGGCCAAATGGAGTCCTTGCTAAAGGGACACTATGTTCTTGGACAAGGCCAGGACTTGGGGAATTGCCAAATAGAGAAATGTATGTATTTAACCAAAACAAAGTTCCTGCATTTTTTTTCAGCCCTGTATAACTAACATATAAGATTTGCTCATGATGACAACGACAGGCTGAGTATAATCCACCAGCCATGTTTTGTTTGGATTCCGTAATGTTTAAAAAAATTGAACTTCTCAATATTTTAGTTAGGCTCTTTCACGTAAAGATTGGAATTTCTAGCTTGGCTTGGCACCCGCAGGTCCATGTTCCTGCCTGGCAACAACAGGCTGGAGACCAGTGGCAGCACCCCTTTTGGACAGGACACTCCTACCACCTTTGTCTCTCCTTTACATTCCCTGCCTGGTCCTGAGCCTTGCTGTTGGTATTCTGTGAGTAATGGCCTCTGAGTCAGAAGATGGGATCCTTGCTCCTGGAAGCTTACTAATGTAGTTTGAGAACAAGGAGCACATGAAAACAAGAAGTGCTGTGGGAGCTCAGAGCACTAAGCTGTCACCTCGGGATCTGCCACTGAGGACCAGCCACAGAGAAACAAACAAGCAGCAGTTTGAAAAGGGGCTGCCACTGGTTTGGGGACCGAGCTGGAGGAGTTCAAACTAAAGTCTTCATTCTCTTCTTATAGCCCGTGATGGTGTCAGGAGTGCATCATAAATTGAACACTGACCTTTGGAAACCCGAATCCTTCAGGAAAGAGTTTGGGAATCAGGAAGTCGACCTAGTTAACTGTAGGACCAATGAAATCATCACAGGAGCCACAGTAGGAGACTTCTGGGATGGATTTGAAGATGTTCCAAGTATGTATTAAAGCCTTTTAAGGGAGTTAGGATGTGGAAGGAGGGCATGGGAGTAGCAGGAGTCTAAGGCCCCTCGGTGGCAACAACAGCATTGTCTATGATCTTGGAGTTTAAAATTCGTGTCTTATCTCTTCTTCCCCTTTCTTTTTAAAAGTTATGCTTTCAAACCAAGGCAACATTCATTTTGTAGTTCCTTAGAGAGGTGAGGTTTTGGTCATCTGTACTCCAGGGGCCTTCCACATCTGTCCCACGACAGGAATTCTGTGCTTTCACTTGTGCCCAGGGGGAGAGGAGCACAAAGCTGGGGCTTGTGACTCAAGGGTGGTGGTTTTATGTGTGTCTCACCCTCATACATCCTTTTTGCTTTTAAAAAATTTAACTACTGTTTAACAAGATAAGTAGACCTGAAGATGCCAGGGAATGTGAATGCATTTAACATGGGGTATCCTGGTCACTACCTACTGCATCTGGGCTAGGGGCCATTGAGGCAGTAAGAAGGTTTGTGTGTATAGTGCTGAGGCTTGGCCCTTTCTGTGTATTGGCCAGTCAGTAAATTGTTTCCAGGAACATTGAGTTCATGATGGGCCCTGGGGATTCACATCAGCACAGGCCCCCGTCCCCACTGGAGGGTTTGGCCAGTTCATTTATCAGACTGTCAGTAATTCACATTCACTCATTCATCACTCTCAGTTTTTTAGACACACACCTTTTAATCTATTGCTTTCTTATTCCCTTTTACCCACATTTATAGATTATAGCTCATACTTTCAACAAACTTTATAACAAAGTTGTAGTGACTTTTTAAGACAAGGCATGATGGGGTTTTCCACAAGTAGATGCTGAGAATGGAGTTTCAGACAGAAGATGGTTACTTAGGGATCAGCATCTGTGAAACAGAGGGGAAAGCAGGACTGAGCAGGAAAAGGAGTCAGCCACAGTGCAGACTCAACAAAGCCTCGGCCAGTCTTGCAGGGAGGTCTGAAACACATATTGCCCTTCGTTGTCTCAGGTTGGGCTGAAGTTAGAAATGTCAGGGCCTTTGTCCCCCTGCCTCCTTCAGTCTCTAGATACTGGTGCCCCAGGAAGGGACCTGACCAGGCAAGGCAGTACTGTGCAGCTGACCCTAAACTCTGTGTCTGGGCAACAAGTCTTTGGAAGCTTTCCAGTTAGGCCTGAGTTCAAATCCTGTCTCTTGATATGTTCTTGTTGTGTATAGGAGCTTGGTAACTTAATTTTCCTGGGACTCAAAAATTTCCTCCTGCTGGCAGATGGTGAAAATAGCTCCAAGTCAACTATAGCTTGCCCATTCTATACTGATGATTCTGTTGCACACACCCCCAGCACACCACCCACACTAACATACTGCTGGTATTCTGAACATACCCTGTTACCCTGTATTTTTCTGTTTCCTCCTGGAGTATGCACTTATTTAAACTAGGTTATGGACAGTACTTGGTTGACTACAAAACGTCATACAGTTGTTAGTCCTCAAGAGTACCAGGTCTGAAGTCAAACCTGGGTTCCAGCCCCAATTCTCCCACTTAGTAGCTGGATGACCTTGGGTGTGTCTGTCAGTTCCCCGTCCCCAAATCGGAATGTCAGATGGTGTCTAATCTCATTGGGATATTGGGTTTAGTTGTAAGGATTAAATGGTTAAGACACTTGGCAGAGATTAGAACACAGCAAGAAATGAAATAATAGTTGTCATTGCTGTTGATCATAATTACCAACATCTTTTTCAATTAGAACTCCTTGGTTCTTCGTTCCTTGCCATTACCTGCAACGGGTAATAGTTCTGACTAAACTACGTGGTGCTATTGGCCCTACTTGTCCCTGGACAGAACATCAGGTGGTTTCAGTCTCTTTGAACAAAACAAGTCATTTTTATTTCATGGTAGCGTTAGAAAACCTGGGCTACTAAACATCTGTGACCTCTTACTGTTAAAGTGCATTGCTGTTTATTAGTTAAGGAGCTGCTCACTTCTTCCAGAACACTGTATAGAAGGAAGATACTGGATCTGAGACAGACAACTATCAAAACACCAACTATGTGTAATGGGCAAAGGGGTGGCTGAAATCTCAAAGAGTGAGCCGCAATTTTAAGAAGCATCTAGAAAAGATTAGTTGGTAATTTTATTTTGCTGCCCCCGTCCTGCCTCCTAGGTACGAATGGGTTTCTTGGCAACGTAAAAATAAAATAGTTGGCAATTGGCAGGAGGGGACTATTAAAGAAAATAATATTTGTGTACTAGGTGGTCTGTTTCTGAGTTATGAATAGTAACAATTCAGTAATTCTGGTTACCTTTCAGACCGCTTGAAAAATGAAAAAGAACCAATGGTGTTGAAGCTTAAGGACTGGCCACCAGGAGAGGATTTTAGAGATATGATGCCTTCTAGGTATGATTATTGGCAGGGGGGGAGGGGTGATTCTGTCCTTGACTTGGTAGGATAAATTCTTCTTGAGGTGGTGAGAAAAGAGTTTTCAAAAGGGAAAGATGAAATACGGAATAGTTTTACTGGTGCTGATAGTTTATTTCTAGACTAAGTCTTTGGATATGTGTGTTTTAAAATACAAAGAGAAAGAGGTTACTGACTTTGAGATTTGGCTGACTGATGGAATCTTCACACATTTCCACTGTAGTGCTCGGCCAGAGAGAGGCCACATGAGCTGTGCAGCCTCCGACTTGGAAGCAGGATTGGGATTGGACCTCTCAGGGTTCAGTGTAATGATGTTGTATTCGACAGCAAGACAGCTGAATTGGTAGATCCATTTTCCTGATTTGAGCTTGAACCTTGGAAAGGATCCTTAGAACTAATGAATAGTACATCCCTGAGTGTCACTTCTTATCAGGAAGTTACTGACATATTTTAGGTCATTTTGATAAAGATGCATGCTGTGGGAGAGAAAGAAGATATCTTTGTTCATAACTACTATAATTCTCTTAAATATTGTTCAAGGAAAGCTTTCTCCATTTTTACAAGCACAGATATTTTTATTTGTTCCTTTTGGTAAGAAGGAATAAAACAGATCACACAATGATGTTTGGTTCTCTTGTCCTAGGTTTGATGATCTGATGGCCAATATTCCACTGCCTGAGTACACAAGGAGAGATGGCAAACTAAACTTGGCCTCCAGGCTGCCAAACTACTTTGTGAGGCCAGATCTCGGTCCCAAGATGTATAATGCTTACGGTAAGGAAGAAATGGCTAACTTGAAAAGACTTTAATGGAAATAGAGCATGTCAAAATGTTTGGAAAATTGCTTTTGGGGGAGGTGGAGATGGAAGACCTCTATAGTCCTAACACTTCACACAGCAGTGGGCTTCAGTTTTGCATATTTCCTTTCATTCCTTTTCATGTGTAGGTGTATTTCGTTTTCATAGTTGCAGTTGTAGGGCGTGTGTGATTTTTTTATTTTTCTTTTCTACATCTCATATTCTATCGTAAAATCTTTGTGTTGCTTAATAGTTTTTAGTGTGATAATTTTTAGTGGTTGTACGGTATATCATTAAATTAATCTAAATTTGTTACTCATTTTTTAAAATTTTTATTTTTTTTATTATTGAAATTTTAGGTAGTTAACATATAGTGCTATGTGTTTCGGGAATAGAATCCAGTGATTTGTCACTTACATATAACACCCAGCACTCATCATAACAAGTGCCCTCCTTAATACCTACAACCCATCTATCCTATCCCTCACCCACCTCCCTCCAACACCGTTTGTTTTTTTTCTCTGTAGTTAAAAGCCTCATGATTTGTTTCCCTCTCTTTTTCTTCCCCTGCCTTATGTTCAAGCATTTGTTTCTTAAATTCCACATATGAGATCACGTGGTATTTGTCTTTCGTCTGACTTTGTTTCACCTAGCAAAACACCCTCTAGCTCCATCCATGTCATTGCATATGGCAGGATTTCATTTTTTTGATGGCTGAATAATATTCCATTGTATATATGTATACACCACATCTTCTTTATCCATTCATCTGTTGATGGACACCTGGGCTCTTTCCATAGTTTGGCTGTTGTGGACATTGCTGCTATAAACATTGGGGTGCATGTGCCCCTCCAAATCACTATGTTTGTATCCTTTGGATACATACCCAGTAGTGCAGTTGATGGATCACAAGGCAACTCTATTTTTCACTTTTTGAGAAACCTCCATACTGTTTTCCAGAGTGGCTGCACCAGCCTACATTCCCACTAACAGTGCAAGAGGGTTCCCCTTTCTCCGCATCCTCGCCAACACCTGTTGTTTCCTCTGTTGCCAACCTTAGTGATTCTGACAAGTGTGAGGTGGTATCTCATCATGGTTTTAATTTGTTGTTACTCATTGTAAAGTCAGTCTGCTAGCTAGTTTTAACATCTGCCGCACTTAAATACCCCCATGTTGGGGGTAGTAGTTTGTTACTTAAGTTAGTATCAGAAGCACCCTCTGAATTGGATTTTCATTGTTTAGACACAACTCAGTAAACTACCCAACACGGAGTATTGCACAGGATAGAGAATGATTTCCTCAGTTACCAGAGTTGTCTTTTATCATTATTGCCGTGACCTTGACCAGTTTTCTGTTGGGTCTTTATTTAGATCTTGATTATAGTCGGCTGTTTTGAAGGAATTGTTTACTGATTGATTGTTGAATGAAGTTTCAGTTGTTTGGATCATTTATTGACTTTGCTTTAGTCTTTTACACTATTTGGACCCCATTTTTCCAGTCCTCTAGAATTACTTCTTTGATTTTATTCCGTTCTCCCATAATTACTCTGACGTCCAGTCTCTCAGACCTGAGGGTGGCAGCTCTCCTGAAGAAAGGACAGAACCCTTTGGCATCTTTGCCGTGTTCTCCAGAGACTGTTGGGGGTTGAGAGGAGCAAGGACTTGCATCTCAGCCCCACAATTGTTCTGTTATGGTGTCAGTCCGGGCATCCACCTGGAATGGGGTCAGCGAACATTTCGAGAAGGGAGTTTATATTGGGAAGCTCCCACAGCCTAGATGCCCGAGAGCATTCTGCCAGGGTAGGGTGAGAAATGGTCTGTGAGAGAGAGGACACAGCAAGCGAAGTCCCCCAGCCTATTCCCTTTACTTTTCAGGTCTCAGTTTAGAGAGCCCTGTGCACGCTGTGGGGCTGTAGCATGTTCCCTGGCTGAGTTTCCTTCCCTCAAGCCCTTCAGAGCAGCTAGTTGGTTGGGGCCTCAGGATGTACTCCGCTCCTAGTGGAGATTTATGATGAACCTATGTAAATGAAAGTATTTTTTCACTGAAGTAAATGGTATAGTGTTGCATAGTGATTATCCATGCCTTGTAGGCCCCATGAAGCTCTATGGGGTAGAAGTGGTTACCTGAGAAGTTTCAGAATAAATTGCTTGGTTTAAATAGCTTGGTAGCATGGACACCAACAGATAGATGGCAGTGTTACTCTGTACAAGCTTTATCTCTGACAGAATTGTTCCCATCCGGAGTCAGCAGTTAGGGATTGAAAATAATGGAAATGTGTTCATTTTCAAACATCTTACACCTTGTCATAAACAGTAAAGAGCAATCATTTTGAAAGGTTGGATGATTGAGCTGGGACTCCTCAGGCAGAGTAGGGTGAAAAGGCTCTTCAGAGAGAGAGAGTCCACATCTCTCCATCCCCAGTACCACCACCAGTTCTACCCAGAGGGGCCAGGACTTCAGGACAGTGGCAGGGACAGTGACCTGCTCAGGATGTATGAGGGCCAGTCTGTAGCAGGTCTGGGACTAGGACGTTGGGTCTCCTGATTTCCAGGCTAGTTCTGCTCTCCCTGCAACCCCAGTGCTGTCACTCGGCAGTCCCTGTTGGTGTCAGCTCATGTGCTCTTCATAACTGTCCATGGTGGTGTTATGTTCCAGGATTTTCTATATTCTGGGAATCCTTTCCCTGGGACCTTTATGTTTTTATAATCTTGGTTCCGTTTAGGCTCAGGCTGTCTTCGTTTAGAGACCGTTTTATCAGCTTGCAGTTGCCCATAGCTGCCTGTGGATGAGTGTTGGGCAGGTAGCTGGGTAGGTGTCGCTTCCTTCCTTGTTTGGCACAACTCTTTTCCTCTGTTTGGCACTGGCCAAGGAGCAGGCAGCCTGACAGAGCTCTGAGACCTGTTCGCCCTTCCTCCCTCTTCTCCCATCTCGTGCCCTTCCTTCCTCCCACAGGGTTACCTGCTGTCCTGCAGTTTGTACGCTTGTAACGCCACTGTATGTATTTGTATTCCCGCAGAATATTCTTTCAGTTCTAACCTGTGTTTGAGCTTTATATAAATAGAATCAGACTTTTGGATAATCATCCATGCTATCATTTATAACTGTCCATTTCATTCATTTTCCTTCTATTAATTGCTTTTCCTTCTTACATTTTAACTTTTTTTTTTTTTCAAAGATTTTATTTGAGAGAGAGAGAATGAGAGCCAGAGAGTACGAGAGGGAAGAGCGTCAGAGGGAGAAGCAGACTCCCCGCCAAGCAGGGAGCCCAATGCGGGACTCGATCCCGGGACTCCAGGATCATGACCTGAGCCGAAGGCAGTTGCTTAACCAACTGAGCCACCCAGGCTCAGTTTTAACTTTTAACTTTTTTTACTCTTTATTATAGAAAGAGTTTCCAAATGCACTCAGAACTTGAAAGTCTAATATAGTGACTCCCCATGTACTTAGCCCAGTTATAGCAGCTATCAATTTTTTGCCATGATTTCATTATTCCCTCCCGTTCTATTTTTCCTTTACCATTTTAAAGCAAATCTCCTTGGGGCGCCTGGTGGCTTAGTTGGTTAAGCAGCTGCCTTCGGGTCAAGTCATGATCCCGGGGTGACTGCCATTCCCCCTGTTTGTGCTTGCTCTCTGTCTCTCTCTCTCTGTCAAATAAGTAAATTAAAAACAACAACAACAAAAAATAAAGCAAATCTCCTTTGATATATCTCCTTTAAAGCCTATCCTTTGATTTTGCCTAAATACTTAAATGTTCAGCCCTCTCCTAGGGCTGATAGTTCAGCTAAATGGAAAGGAAATCGCTACAGTACAGGGCTCTTAGGGCTACCGTCCCAGGTTGAAGTTATGGGGTGCCCTCTCCTGTGTCGAGCTGCTCCTCAAACTGCAAGGCTCTGGCAAGCCGGAGGGAAGTCCCTTGGCCTCCTCCAAACAAAACAGAGCTGTTTCAGGGGCTGGTGGGTTAGCAGACAGCCTCTGCCTGCCCCCTATGAGCCAGGCTTCTCTCTGCTGCCCAATCAAGGGTCTTCACGTCCCGGCAGGCCATCCACGGTGACCACAGGGCTCGGTGAGCCTCAGCGTGACTGCCGAGAAGGCGAGTCTTTTTCTGGGGGTAAGAGATGAAAGTTTCAGACTACGAGCACCAACCAGGACTTCATGCTGTGGCTCACTACCCCCACTCCCCACTTGTCTTTTCTTTTCTTTTTTTTTCTTTTTTTTTCTTTTTACAGTTGAAGGAACCAAGGAATGCGTTGGGCAGTGTTCTATCTTGTTCTAAGTGTATAGCCATTTGAGGTCCCAGCTTTATGTGCATGTGAGGGGGCTTTCTGTTAGACTCCCCATCTTGAGTGGGTCTTGGGCCTATTGTTTTGCCCCAGAATACTCTAGGCTGTGACAGCCAAAGCTTGAGAACTGGCCGAGCACATGTCCTTTCGGCACATTCCAGCTCTGGGAGCCACTTTACCATTCCTGAGTCCTGCTTTCTTGTTTTTTGGCTTAGGAGTATTTCTTCTCTCGCCAGCACATTGTTTCATTAAAAAAATTTTTTTCAATAATTTCATCCTGGACTTTTAGTTGCTCTTCGCAGGAGGGTCTATCAAGGACCTACTTTGCCTATCATCATAAACAAGTCCTAGTAGTAGGACTTGGTTTTTTATTTTTATAATTAAATATTTGATGAGATTATTTTCTTTCCAAGTTGAAAGGATAACATAACTTAATATTAAATATTCTCTTACTTTAACATGATTTATATAAGAGGCAGCTTTTAAATCTTATGACCAGGTATCTCTCAGGGAGTGGGAGAGACAGTGGCAGCCTTCATCATCTCCATAAATTTAAGGTGTTTTCTGTTGACAGGATTAATTACTCCAGAAGACAGGAAATACGGAACCACAAATCTTCACTTAGACGTATCTGATGCAGCTAATGTCATGGTGTATGTGGGAATTCCCAAAGGACAGTGTGACCAAGAAGAAGGTAGGGTGCTAAGTGTAGAAGTGAGACTTGCTCTCTGAGTTGGAGACTGTGGTCTGATATTTGCTTTCTCTTGCTCTAGAAGTCCTTAAAACCATCCAAGATGGAGATTCTGATGAACTCACAATAAAACGATTTATTGAAGGAAAAGAGAAGCCAGGAGCCCTCTGGCACATATATGCTGCGAAGGACACAGAGAAAATACGAGAATTCCTTAAAAAGGTGTGGTTTCTATCCTATGGCTTGTGAAGAGAGGCATGGAGAATAGCACTGTTAGAAATTACTCCATGTTGAGAACTGACTGGCTACTGGGCAATAATCATAACCTCAAAAGTTTAATCTTTGCTTATCAGATTGACTAGGCTGAAGCCGGTTGCTGAGGAACAAAGATTTCTAAGTGATCAGGCTCACACCTCTGACAAGAGGAGGCCTTGTCTTATGTCTGTGTTTTACATCATAATGCATTTGGAGATTTTTGTGCTCTCCCTTCAGGTCCGAACCGTTCCTCTGATTGTTTAGCATCTATTTGTTTTTATTGCCTTAAAAATCTAAGTACCGCAGAAGTTCATGTGTAATTCCTTGGCCCTTGATACCTGTGTTCTGAGTGAGTTACTTAGATCCCTGTGGGTTTTGTCCACCCTCATTTAGTAGTAGGTCAGGAAAGCCTCAGGCATTACTTGTGGCCCTTAGCTTGCAAAGGGCCATTGGAAAGGGATACAGGGGCTTTTTTTTTTTTTTTTTAAAGATTTTATTTACTTATTTGACAGAGAGAGACACAGCAAGAGAGGGAACACAGGCAGGGGGAGGGAGAAGCAGGCTTCCCGCCTAGCAGGGAGCCCAATGCGGGGCTCGATCCCAGGACCCTGGGATCATGGCCTGAGCCGAACGAAGGCAGACGCTGAACGACTCAGCCACCCAGGTGCCCCAGGATACAGGGGCTTTTAAGATTCCAAGTTCCTAGTGGTTGTCAGGTTGTTCAGCAAGGGCTATGTGTGGAAGTTCTAGGCAGCTGGAAGGACGGGAGCATCCAGTATCTGTGGCTGATACTCTTCAGTTCATAAGGATTAGATGTGAACACCCCTAGCCTGTTGCCTAGTGCCGAGTAGGTCCTTAACCAGCATTGGTTTGAATCAAGCTGTTTCTGACTTAGGATCATTTGACTCTTCCAAAACCTGCTGGTCTCCATATTGCTGCCAAATACTGTGTCTAAAATAAACTGATTTAATTTATAGCTGTCTTTGGGACTGCTCTGTAACTCAGATTGTTAAATGAATTATAGATTTTTAATAACGGCAGTACAACAGTCTGTTTCTAAGGAACTTGAGCCTACTTACATTCAAAAGTCTAGACCAAAATATTGTCCAAACATAGTATCTAGAAAAATATGCAGACTGCCAGTCAGAGATTATTGGAAATGACAGAAGGAAAACCACATTTTCTTTCAGTCTTCTCTTGGTTCTTTCAGTTAACGTCTTTGAGTATTACCTGTCTCTTTCTGCTGGTGGGGTACGTGTTAAGGAAGGCCTGACATCTACTGACTGTCCACACTATTCGGGGGCCTGGGGGCGGGGTGGGGTGGGGGAATGCCCTCATTGTGCCTCAATGTGTTGCTCAGTTTCATAATATTTCAAATGTGTTCTAGGTATCAGAAGAGCAAGGTCAAGAAAACCCAGCAGACCATGATCCCATTCATGATCAGAGCTGGTACTTAGACCGATCACTGAGAAAGCGTCTTCATCAAGAGTATGGAGTTCAAGGCTGGGCTATTGTACAGTTTCTTGGGGATGTGGTATTTATTCCAGCAGGAGCTCCACATCAGGCAAGAAACATTACTTTATTCTTTATTCTCTTTACACTAAGAACTTTTGCATATGTTACTGATGTAACTTGTGTTTTCCAGGTTCATAACTTATACAGCTGTATTAAAGTGGCTGAAGATTTTGTTTCTCCAGAGCATGTTAAACACTGTTTCTGGCTTACTCAGGAATTCCGTTATCTGTCACAGACTCATACCAACCATGAAGATAAATTACAGGTAAAAATAGCACTGATTCTTGGCATTCTCTCTCTCTGGCTTCATGGCCCATTACTCACCTAAAGAGAGTCATTGAACTTGGCCATGTCACACTTGGTACAGTGAGTTGATAAACTGGCTTCGTGTGTAGTTTCACTGTCTACTTAGGCCAAGGAGGAATGAACATAGAGGAAGTCTCACCTTGGTTTGTTATTGTTTTGACTGGAAAGGACTGTGCCCCAAGAGAAAGACTTACTAGTACTGAAAATGAATAGATCTTTGAGGGGCCTGGGTGGTGCAGTCGGTCGAGTGTCCGACTCTTGGTTTCAGTTCAGGTCATGATCTCAGGGTGGTGAGCTTGAGCCCGATCTACACTGAGTACAGAGTTGGCTTGGGATTCTCTCTCTCCCTCTCCCTGTATCTTTCCCGCTTATGCTTGAGTGCACATGCTCTCTCTCTCTCTCAAATAAATCTTTAAAAAAGAAAGAAAGAGAATAAATAGATCTGACTTCTGATCCTGGCTCAACTGCCAGACATTGGTCTTGAACAAAGACTTTTAGTGCTGTGTTGTTCTCATCCTTGAGTAGAGCAGAACAGAATCTCTGGGATCCAAAGAAGATCTCAGAGAGTGGGTTTAAAGATGCTTTCAGTAGTGAATTACGTAACATAGTTTCATGTTTGGAAAACTAGGGGAACATAAAAGTTTTGAAAAATTGTACCTTGGGGCTTGCCTCTCCCTGTACTCACCAGGCTCAGGTTTATGGGACATCAAAACCTGCGGAAGGGAGAAAAGGAGGCATGGGTTTAAAATGTGTATGACATACTGGCCTAAAGGAGTCTAGGTGCCTTTTAAGTACTAACATTTTGAATACCAAGTTTTAACTTTAGAGAGAATGGTAATAAAACTGTCAGGGGAAATGTTTGGTCTTAGTGACAGATTTTAGATATAGTGGTAAACTGACCATAATTTCTCCCGTTCTTTTAGGTGAAGAATGTTATCTACCATGCAGTGAAAGATGCAGTTGCTATGCTGAAAGCCAGTGAATCCAGTTTTGGCAAACCCTAGGGGTCCCAGAGACGCCTTAACCCCTGTACATTGGAAGTGAATTCCTGGCAGCTGATCAAACTCTTCAGGCAGGATTCCTGTGGACTTTGAGATTCATGTTACCTCAGCTTCTTTTTTAAACTGTACCCAACTGGTAAGGGTACTCTGTCTGATGTATATTTCTAGTGTTTACACACACTAAATGTGTATATGTAGGAACTATTTACAGAACATGCATCCTTAAACTGTGACTTTTCAACCTAGTGCAGAACTTCTACCATATTCTGTAAAAACAAAACCTCTTATCCGCTCTGGAACAATACCTGCAGTTACTCCCCAGCTGAGGGGTTGGACAGCTTAATCAGAATGGGTTTATAACTATTAGGAATCACTGCGCAGTTTATTTGGTTGTATTTTGTTTTGTGTGTGTCTGAGTACTCTCTCCCTCAGCCTGTAGGGCTCAGGTGAGCGACGGAGGACGGAGGACGGAGGAAGTGACAGCTAATGATGCAGTTCCTGCTGTGTTGCATTAGGACTGGCATTATATAGCAGAAATCAACTACTGTATAATTCTTGGGTTTAACCATCTTTATTTAGTCCAATGGAGTTTTAATTTAAATGAAGCTTTGCTAATTTTAAGTGTTAAGCATTTTGCATTAAAGTATTCATATAATATTTTGACTCTACTTATTGGCATTGTTATCCTCTGGTTGTAGGTTCAATAGACTTTTCTCAAGTGTTACAAGTGTTAAGAGGTTGCTCCAGGAGCTCATCTTAAAAGCAAAGAAATTAGATGCTATAGTGATTTGTGGTTATTATAATGCTAACATGGAAATAAGTTTCTTCCCAGCCAAGTGGAAACCTTGTCACACCTCTACAAAGAAACATCACCAATTAGCTAAATTCAGAGTGGAAGTTAACAACAACAAAAAAAACCAAATAGTGACTGGTTAAATGGTTCTTCTAAAAGGGTATTTCAAAGAGATCGAAATACATTGTCTTCTGGCCTTTCATAAAGTAAGTTTACAAAGGAAAAGGAAATTATTAGAAGTTTTAGAATAGTAGTATCTAAAATAGTCCTTTCTGATGGAAGAAATTCATTAAAAAGCCACATTTCTGTATCTCCCTGATTGTCTTAGACAGCTATTGTTATACTAAATAAAAGGAATGAAGTTGAAATCAAGTAGTAGAGACAAAGCCTAGAGCCTGGGTTTTTTCCTATGTGCCCAGGTAGGAGGTCAAAGATCCCTGCCTAATGCCAGCCCCCTCTTCAAGCCAACACCTGTAAAACATAAATTTCCTGGAAAAAATAAGTAGACATATCTGCCCATATCAGTGGGAAACATCTTCCCTGGGAATTTATCAGAAGCTCCTTTATACAGGTTTGGCTCTCAAATTGGCACTGCTACTTAGAAATCTCCCTCAGCTGAAATAGGAAAATTGGGGTCCTCTGTAGAGGAAATCAGCTTCAAGCCAGACCTCAAGGGAGTGACAGTTCCAAGACTGTTATTCACAATCAAATAGATTGGAACAACAAACATGAAAACTGAAAGCCACCATGAACAAGAGTCAGCAAGGACCTTCAGATTGCCATATTAAACCTGCAGAGGTTTACAGACTGAAATGATCCAGTGTTATTTTATATTCTGAAATGTTATCTCTGTTAAAAGAAATGAGAGTATAGGAATATGAAGAATGTGGTTTCCAGAAATGACAAGATATGGAAAGAAGCTAAATAGAATTTATAGAAATGAGACATGATGTTTAAAATTAGAAACTTAGCAGATGAGTTAAACAAAAAAAGTTCTTTTATGAACTGGGAGATTGGTAAAAATACAGAATACAGCATTGAACAACAGGATTCTATAAAGAGGTGTTAACTGATAAGCAGAATGCCAAAAAATACAGATTTGGTAATCAGGGACTGAAAGCCGAGAGGGATGGGCGTGGGGGATGCTGTCCAGAGACAGAGTTTCCCGGTACTCATAAAGTCATCAGATTGGAGAAGCCTATCTAAATCAAGCAAAGTAAATAAAAAATCCACATATAATAAATTACAAGAAAGGCAACTAGAGTAGGGAAAACATGATCCTCAAAGAAGTGACAGACTAACAGGTGACTTCTCCACATCAACAGTGCAGGTCAGAAGAAAGTAAACGCTGTTCTCACTGTGCTGAAGACCGGAGCCCGAAACAGCAACACAGACACAGCCAAATTCTTTCCCTGTTCTTTATGGAAACTTTCAGACAAAAATCAGGGTTTATTTTCAGGCCCTTACTGAAGGAAGTTTTAAGGGTATCCTTAGGAAAGAAAACCCACAGCATGCAAGAGAAAATGGAGGACAAGGGAAATTACAAACTCCTGGATACATTGAAGCAATAGTAGCATTAATATTTTTAAAAGGATAATTTTTCTTAAAAAGTTAAACAGAATTATGATTCAGCAACTCCACTCCTAGGTTTACTCAAAAGGATTGAAAGCAAGGATTCAGATACCTGTACACACGTGTTCATAGCAGCGTTACTCAAAAGACCCAGCCCAAGAGTCCATCCCAGATGCAGGGATAAACAAGATGTGGCATATACATACAATGGAGCATTTTTCGGTCTTAAAGGAAATTCTGGCACATGCTACAACGTGGATGAATAAGTCAGACCCAAAAGGATAAATACATGATTCCACTTATATGAGAAATAATCATAATCTTAGACAAATTTCATAGAGACAAAATAGAACAGTGTCGCCAGGGCTGGGAGGAAGGGGTAATGGGAGTTCCTGTTTAATGGGTATAGAGTGTATCTGTCTGGGATGAGGTTCTGGAGATGGATGGTGGTGATGGTTGTACAACATTGTAAATGTACTTAATGCCACTGAATTGTACACTTAAAAATGGTTAAAATGCTCAATTTTTTATTATGTATATTTTACCAAAATAAAAATCAACTCCCAAGTAGGGAAAACCTTTGGAGTTGAATGAGAAAATGACATTTTTGTTTTTTAAAAACTGATTAGCAAGTCAGGAAAGAAGGAACAAATGGGACTTTTCTGAATATTCCAAATACAAGGTAAAGATGGTCCGACTGTAATAAAAGACTCGACTATTTGCGGCTTATGAAAGATACAGTTTGACTGTAGGTTAAAAGTACAGAAAAAATTGTACCATGTAAACACTAGTCATATGAAAATAAGTATGGCTATATTGATTCCAATTTTAAGATTTTAGGATGAAGAGTATTACCAGAGAGAAGGTGTTCTTTGGTTGGTTTTTAGAAAAAAAAAATTTTTTTTTTAGAAATTTTTTTAATTTGCTTATAGTTGACACAATGTTACATCAGTTTCAGGTGTAGGACATGATTGGACAACTCTATACATTGTATGTGCCCCCCACAAGTGTAGCTGTATCTGTCACCATACAGCGCTATTACAGTATCATTGACTGCATTCCCTATGTTACACCTTTTATTCCTGTGACTTAGTCATTCTACAGCTTGGAAGCCTGTATCTCCCCCTCCCCTTCACCCATTTTGCCCTTCCCCCACCTCCCTCTCCTCTGATGATCATCAGTTTATTCTCTGTATTTATAGGTCTGGTTCTTTTTGTTTTATTCATTTGTTTTTTAGATTCCACATATGCGTGAAGTCATAAGGTATTTGTCTTGAGAGAAAAAGTTTTAGCAATCATAAAAGGGTCAACTCAGTGGGAAGATACTGTGTACACACCTAACAGCAGAGCTTCAAAATAAAATGAAGCAAAATTTGACAGAATTAAAGGGGAAAAGAGTTGGTGATTCTCCCTCTTTCTGTAGTTGCTATAATCAGACATAAAACCAGTATAAGTACAAAATAATTGAACCTATCAACCAAATCAACATTTATTAGGACACTAAAGCCAGTGCTATAAATAACACATTTCTTTCAAGTGCATGTTGACTCTTCACCCAGGAAGACCATACACTGTAAATACATTTCAAAGGAGTATGTAAATTGAAATTGTATAGAGTATGTTCTTAATGTGATGATAATGGAATTTAACTAAAAATCAGTAAAAAAGATTTACTTTTTTATCAGCAAAATTCCCAAATGCTGGGAAAATAGGCAGCTTACTTCTAAGTAACCCACTGATCAAAGAAGAAATCAGAATAGAAATTAAATATTTGGAACTGAATAATAAAAATACAACACTTAAAAATAGTGGGATTCAGTCACAGCAGTGCTAAGGAATGTATAGTTTTCAGTGTATAAGAAAAAGAAGACTTAGATCACACATAAGTAATATGGAATATTTTGGAGATTTTTGCATCTTTGTTAATGGAAGGGTATTGGTCTAACATTTTGAAATGTCCTTGTAATGTCACATTATGATAACAAAGTTGTGATAATCTAAAACAAGTTGGGAAATGTTTTTATCTACTCTCTGAAAAAAATATATATAGTTGGCCCTTGAACAACAGCCTTCGAAGTGCACATGCCCACTTACACATGGGTTTATTTCAATAATTATATTGGAAAAGTTTTTGGAGATTGGCAACAATTTTAAAAATTCAGATAAACCCTGTAGACTAGAAATACAAAAAAATTAAAAAGGTCTGTCATAAATGCATAAAATATATGTAGGTACTAGTCTATTTTTTTCATTTATTACCATAAAATATACACAAATCTATTATGAAAAGTTAAAATTTAATAAAACTGAGGCACATAAACACAGACCGTACATGCTGCCATTCCCAGTCAAGTAAACATAAAGATGCAGTATGAAACTGCATAAAATTAGTTGTAGGTATTGTACTATTTTAATAATTTTGTAACTGCCTCCTCTTGCTGTTGAGGTGAGCTCACCTAAAACACGACGTGACACTGGTCTTCTCTGTATGAGCAGTTCATGTCTTCAGTAAATTGTATATTGTATTACAAAGTGCTCGGATTTGTCATGTATTTTTGTGTTTAGTGCAATACCATAAACGTAACACCAGGGGACCCATATGAAGTGCCACTAATGATGTTGGAGGTGCTCCCAAGAAGCAAAGTCATGACATTACAAGGAAAAGTTGAATTGCTTGCTATGTATTGTAGATTGAGATCTGCTGCAGATGCCCACCATTTCAAGATAAACGACTCAAGCTTAGGGACTGTTGTTAGAAAGAAAAGGAAAGGAAATTCATGAAGTCATGGTTGTGTTACACCAGCTTGTGCAAAACATTTTTTGTGAAATACCTTTTTAGCTTATTGAAAATAAGCATTTATGTGGGTGCAGGATTGCTTTAAGAAAGGCATACCTATAGACATATTTGACGACAAAAGGAAGCAAAAGGAAGGCAAAGGATTTAAAGCTGGAAACTTCAGTGCCAGCAAAGGATGGTTTGATAGTTTTAGAAAGGTTTGGCCTTAAAAATTCTAGAGGGGCGGGGGGTGGGGGATGGGTTAGCCTGGTGATGGGTATTAAGGAGGGCACATTCTGCGTGGAGCACTGGGTGTTAGACGCAAACAATGAATCATGGAACACTACATCAGAAACTAATGATGTATGGTGATTAACATAACATAGTAAAATTAAATATATATCAAGATAAAAGAAGCAGTTTCTACTGACCAAGAGGCAGTAGAGGAGTTCCCAGGAGCCATTGAGAAGATCATTGAGGAGAGAGGATATCTGCCTGAGGAGGTTCTTAGTGTAGACCAACGGCACTATTCTGGGGGGAAAAAGTCACAAAGGTCATTTATTAGGAAGAGGAGGACCAGGATTTAAGGCAGGAAGGGATAGATAGGCTCACTCTACTGTTAGGTGCAAATGTGGTCGGATTTCTGATCAGGACTGCCCTTACCTTTAAAGCTCCTAACATCCAAGCATTGAAGGGAAAAGATAAATACCAACTGCCAGTCTTGTGGTTGTACAAGAAGGTCTGGACAAATGAGAACCCTTTTTCTGGATTGGTTAATTCATGCTTTGCCCCTGAAGTCAAGAAGTACCTTGCCGTCAAGGGACTGGGTTTTCAAGTTCTTTTGATACTGGGCAAATGCCCCTGGCCTCTCAGAACTCTGCAAGTTTAACATTGAAGGCACTGAAGTGTCTACTTGTCCCCAAACACAACGTCTTTAATTCAGCCTGTAGATCAGGGAGGTATAGACATTTACGGCTCATTACACATGGCACTCTATGGAAAGGATTGTCAATGCTATGGAAGAGAACCCTGATCGAACATCATAAAGTCTGGAAGGATTGCACCATTGAAGGTACCATCGTTGTTACTGAAAAAGCTGTGAAAGCCATCAAGCCTGAAATAATGACTCCTTGCTGGAGTAAACTGTTCAGATGTTGTACATGACTTAATGGGATTTATGACAGCCAATCAAGGAAATTATAAAAGATTGTGAATATGGCAAACATGGTAGGAGTTGAAGGGTGTCAAGGATGTTGGAGAAATTCAAGAGCTAACAGACCCTGCATCAGAGAAATTATTGAAGATTTGATAAGAATTAACAGTGCCAGACATTGAGGAAAAAGATGCAGACGAAGCAATGCCAGAAAACAAATTGACATCAGACAATTTGCTGGAAGGGTTCTGATTATTCAAGACTAATTTTGCCGCCTTCTATGACATGGACCCTTTGATGATACAGGCACTGGAACTAAAGCAAATGGGGGAAGAAGGATTAGTACCAAAGAGAATCATTTAGAGAAATGAAATAAGTTAGACATTCTGATGTATGTCTATAAAGTCACTCTGAGTGTGCCTGCCTCCCCTGGCTCCCCTTCCCCCTCATCCCCCTCTGCTGTCCCTGAGACAGCAACAGCACCTCCTCTTCCTCCTCCTCAGATGACTCAGCGTGAAGATGATGAAGATATTTATGATGATCCACTTCACTTCGTCAATAGTAAGTAATCATGCCACACAGTTAATAAGCTTATCTGTTGTGTCTGTCTGTATTCGAGAATATAATAAGCTCGTGGCAAGAATGGTATTAGGCGTTCTTGAGTCATCATCAAAGACGCATTGCGTAGAACGTTGCGTGTAAGACTTGCATGGAAGTGGACAGCCTCTCCTCACATAGGCATAAGGTGAGTAACATTTAATATGAAATTAATGTGTTTTTTTACTGTTCTATAACTGCTTTCAAAGACTTACATTACTGTATAGTATGCCTGTAATTTGAGAAACTGTGTATCAGCCCATCATCACAGGTAAATGGTTTTAATGTAATATTCCCAATACTAGGAATATGACTGTAATACTGTATGTCATGAAAATGTTATAGTGATTCCTTCATTAGTGCGTAAGCTAGGGTATTGTGAAGCATTTGTATCAATTACACTAGGCGACCATGAAGCAATCATATTACTGCTTCATTATCAATGCGTGAATTGTTATACTTGTAAATATATATGAATTTTTCACAGTGTTTCATTTTTTATATCTAAAAGTAATATGTATAACATTTACAGTGTTGTGTATCATATGAGAGAATACTGATGTAAGTACTGACAAATGATCCCATCTTGTAAACAGATGACGAGTTTACACTATCCATAAATACTGTACGGTACTGTAAGTGTATTTTCTCTTAATGATGTTCTTGACATTTTCTTTTCTCTGACTTACTTTATTCTAAGAATAT